TTTTAACTGAATACTAGTGATCAGAGTTACTTACTTTGCCATTGTGGAGTTCACTTGGGTACGAACAAGATCGATGTACTGATCAATCTGGGTCTAGAAGAAGAAAAGGAAAGGAAAACTAATACTTAAAATAGAATTCATGAAATGCTTGTGGGTTTATTTTCTGATATCGAGTTCAAAATATTGACATTTGGGCTGAATATTTCTTACTTTTCTGAAGAAACCACCATTCCAATTATCTAATTAGATCAACTAAATAGCAATAAAGACAATAATGATGTAAATCTGTAATGTTTTGACCCTGGAGTGACTCAATAGCGTAACAGAGCAGCAACAAGAGGGATGAAGAAAGCCTTTAGTGTCTGATGAAGACTGGAGTAATTCAGGGAGCTCACAGCAGACTGACATCACTGCAGATACTCTCATTTTGTGTTTGGCTGTGTGTGTGTGCGGAGGTTAACACCTACCTTATTCTTCTCATAGATGGGAGGCACAGCGAAGAGCAGGATATCAGCTGGAGAGCACACAGACAAAAATCTCATTTTTCAAACAAGTGACCATTCATCTTTTGCTTTTTCCATTACATCACATGTGAAAAGTAAAAGACACAACAGGTCTTCATAATAAACTTCTCAAAAATGAAGTTTAAGGAGTAGTAATCTTCCATGCAAACATTTTTAAAGGTAACGAAAACGATAAATGTGAGAAGTTTTCGGCGGCTGCTCACCCAGGATGAGAATGGTGATTCCGTTAAACACTGCTCCGACGTAGGTCAGCAGCCACATGACCACAGCCAGCTGGAAGACACACAAAGAGACACACAGACCAGTCAGAGAGCTGAAGCATTCCCGTAGCAACAGCTCGGCCATATGCTGGACTGGATGGGCCTTTATCCAACTCAACTGCAACACCGGCCGCTGTTTCTTTAGTCCAGTTGCATCCTGTGACACACAAGTGTGCGGCTTCACCAGCGGAACAGAAGGAAACTCGTGCTTCACTGTGGAGTCCGCGGGGTACGATGGGATAAAGAAACCATTCAAAATGATCCCACGGCTTCTGTTTGCCCTCGCCGATGAAACGTCACCCCAGGTTTACTCGGGACTGGAGTTCTCCCGGTTTCCACCCCTCTTGCCGTGTTCCTGGAAATATCTGCTCTTACTTGACCTATGACCTCTGGCATGTCTCTGAACACGTTGCTAGCTCCACTCCTGCTTCAGCCCACTCAAAAACAGCCTCATCTGAGAGGCACCGAGTGCCCCAATTACTTAAACTGGCTCCTTTCAAAGTGACTGAGCTCCCCCCGAAGGACCTGAACAAGATATTCTCGAGCCCAAACACTACTCGTGCCCATAGGTGAGGGGATGAATGTAGGCCCCGTGGTGAGCGGGCGTGCTGTTCGGCTCAGTTCTTTCTCCACCACAAACAAAAAAAGGACGAAACGGAGCAGTGATCCCCATCAGGAGCCGTAGCGGTCCCAGAATAGCTCTTAGACGGGCCTTAGGGGGGGTTAAACTGGAGTCATGCTGTATTGCAGCAAACTGGTTGAGTCCAGAATTCTACTTAATTGTCTCTGGTAGTGTAATAAACAGAATTATTCTAACGCAGATCAGACTCTGGATGTAATAGGAGTTTGGGTTGCGGCGTTACTGGGCTAATCAGAGCTATAAAAAGGCTGCCCCCGGGAGACGAGCCTTTATGGGACGGAACGGGAGCGACATTCCATAACGGACCGGGAGAAGGCTCAGAAAGTCGGAGAGACGGTGGCTGAGGCTGCGGCTGCTCACCTTCAGGGAGTCCACAAGGTCCTCGACCAGGAAGAGGCGGCTCATCTGCTTCAGGGCCCGGTTGATGTAGGTCAGACTGGCGTCCACGTGCTTGCGGAAGGTCTCTGGAGGGATGCTGACATCCTTCTCGATGAGGACTCTGCGGAGAGGTGGAGGAAGAGAGAAAGGAGACCAGAAAAATGAGGCTGAGCGTTGGAGCAAGAACGCTGCAGAAAACCATAAATAACCAGCCTGTGCTGAAAAGGCCTTAGCGGGAGCAACACCACTGCTTTTGCTCCATATAAAACAAACTAACTTCAATTGTGTGTTTAACGATGGCGGTTTCAGGGATCGTGACCAAAACGTTCCTCAGCGGACAAGCCCACAGAATGCTTTTGACTTTATTAATTCAGTGATCCATTTCAGAACGTTGGGAAAGCTAAAGTTTTGAAATCGTAGAGGGTGAAAGTTGGAAATGAAGAAATCTGCAACTCTCACATTTGAAACAAATTGTGTAATGACTGATGCTAAACGGCAATTTAACGCTACATAAAACCGTAAAACTAAGTCTTTTTTCAAAGGTTTATCTATTGTTTCAGTTTTTTTTTTCAAATTAATTTATAATACACACACACATATACATATATATAGTTTTGTGTAGACATAATTATTTTATTTTGATAGTTAAATTAAATATTTTAACCTCCTCCCTGCCTCCTCACATGAGGACATTACATTTTTCCCTCTTTGTACGAGGATACTTTTAAAAATATCTTTGACCTATTGACCTGCTAGTTTGGAATCTGAAATAAATATATAATAGTTTCAAATATTTTCAACTAATTAGGTCCTTATTGTATTATAAAAAAATGGGTAATTAAGTAATTAACCCTTTAGAACCAAATCACAAAGAAAACTTTTAAATACATAAACCCACTCTGACTATATGAGGAAGAATTTGTTGTATTATGACATAGTCTAGTTATTCCCATATATCTGAACCCAGTTGGCTTTTTAGAGGTTAAACATTAGCAAGTTTCATCTCTGGCACACAAATTCGTCATGAACTGTGTAGAAATGTTTTGTTGACCGAGGCCAGTCTTGGACCCACTTCTCGCTCTTAAATCATCTACTGAGGTAGAATATTCCTGCACATTTCCTCCATGTGAGAGGGTTTTTGTGTTTTAGTTGCCGCGAGTCACAAAACCGATTCCCATCTTCTGATTGGCTTCAGAGGCACACATCTGAGGCTAATGAAGACTTTCAGAGACAGCATGAATACTTGATCATGTAAAACAGCACAACTTTTGAGATATACAGTAATTGCCAAAATATGTTCCCAAACTCTAAATGTGAGGAAGTGCTATAAGATGAAATTGCAGTTGCAGTTATAATATACAAAATTAAAAATGTTGGCTTTTTTAAACCGACTAACGGCTTCAAATGTAAGAAGTTGGATTCCCTGTCCCTCCGTTTGCTGAAATGTTGTGGACAAGACATTAAACCCCACGTCCACCCATCAGTAGGTGGGCCTTCCGTCTTACTTGAAAGGGTGTCCTTCGTTGGACTTCTGCACAGCCTGGACGACCGACTTGTAGATGCGGAAGGTGATGGTGACGCAGAGCAGGGCGAGCAGCAGGTAGGAGGCCACGCTGATGACGCTGAAGGCGGCCAGCGACAGCAGCAGCAGCATGGACAGGCCGAACACCAGGCCCGACTTCTTGGGGTCGCGCCAGTGGATCAGGTCCTTAACTGCAGAGATCCAGAGGAGAGGGGGGTTACACCCATACTGGTGTGCTTCTGCTGGTGAGACATCCATTCAAAACAGAGATAAAAAGAAGGAAGATTCTTGCACGAATTAGGAAAATAAAATTAGGTCTGTTGTAAGTCTTGGAACCATGTTAAAGATCGGGTCTTTATCGTAATTACTTTAAATTAAAAAAAGAAGAGTAAGAATAAAATAAAGCACCATAGAAATTTGTAAATTTAAAATGAATCTCCCTACCATAGATCTCCAAGAAATGTTTTTATGCGTGTTCTCTCCCGTATGTAAAGGGTAAGTACAAGGCAGTTACATAATGCTACAAGGGGTTGGCAGTCTCATACCACCCCCTCCCTTTTTGAGCCTGGGTGAAAAGTGGAATATTAGAAGAAGAAAAAAAAAAGGAAGCCCTGTGCGAGTGGTGGTGCAGAAACCACGTGGCCTAATGCCTCGGGGATGATTCAGGCCTCAGTACTCCGGCAAAATTAATGGGAACACACTGAGGAGCCATGTTGAACTTCATTTCATTGCAGAGCTGCAAGGAGTCGCTGTTTAATTGGAAGCAGAGACCTTTGTTACACCAAACCCGAGCCTGTTTACAAGAACAGGCCACTTCCAAAGGCCTCTTTCTCGAGTTACATGGCTTCATAGTTTCGAAAATAGCTTCTGTGCGTTCACTAGGTTTTTCTGTACATTTCTAAATGATGAAAATAATAACCATCAAATTCAACCTGACAGCATGTGTTGTGGTTAAAGAAAGTTAAAGAGGTTTTCTTTCCATTTGACAGGAACTAAGAGCAAGGTTTCTTAATGCAGGGCTGGCGTCGTAGCAAGCTTTTCTGTCTGCATGCAATGGGACACAACCACATTTTGACATCCCTTTTTCTTCTTCTCCCCCCCCTCCCTCCCTTTCTCTTGCCCTCACTATATACTGCTCAGGTCCCAGTGGCTGCAAAGTGGTCTGCTTTCAGTGTGGTGCTCTTAAAGCTACATCACACATACGAAATAGAGAAAAAACCTCGCCCCGATGCAAAAATGCTGTATCTAAAGGAAACAATACAGAATGTAAAGATTCTACACTTCTACTGCCTATAAAAGGGATTTTTGGGGGCAATTTATTTAGTAAAGAAGCAGTGCATTTGTTGCCTGAATCTTTTACATTTCAAAAGATGCAACAAAGTCAACAACTCAGTGGAATATTAAAAAATACCAAATAAAGCCCAATCCATAAACTGGTGTGCTGCTATTGTCAGCTAACACCAGCCTATCACTGACCAACACAAAGGTAAAAATAAAAACACATACATGGTGATTAAAACAAATAACAATAAAGATTGGCAGTGTGACATTCCAAACTGAACCAGTGTTGTAGTACAGTCATTTCAGAAGCCATTATAAAAATGAATAAATTGCTGAAAAAGACTATATAACAGATATAGAATAACAGCTCTCAACAGAGAAATAATTAAAAAAATATATTGTAAGTAAAGAGCTGTCTAATTTTTCTTTTGGCCCAACTGTTTTCATTAGAATTCAGTCTGAAGGCCTTTTTACAGCTCACTCATTAGGACAAAGGCCAAAATGGAGAAATGTTTGAGAAAGGTTTGAATCAAAAATCTGAATTTTCTCAGATTGAAATAAATGTTTGTCGATGTAAACAGCAGTGAACTTTTTTTGTTGTTAAACTTAAGTTGTTGTTTTTTTATTGATATCAGTGACTGGTGTCATGACAGCTGTTCGACAAGACATACAAACCTTTTATTTTTGACGAAAATTCTAGTTACGTTTTTCTTTTGCTAAAATTCTGATGAACCCTGACTACAATATCAATATACAGAAAAGATAACAGATCAATAACAACATATTTTTAACTGTAGATTCTTGACTAATGAGGCATTCAAAATGACTACTAACTGATTGTTATCAGAGCTTCTTACCAACTTAAAAACAATTTCAAAAGGTAAGCGAAACATCTGCATCCTGGAAGGTTTTGGGGGATATTTTTATCTTGAGGAATTTCAGCTACCAAAACTCGCCTAAAAAGGCTACAGATCACTAACCCCAACACAAAGCTCGGAATTATTACAAACATAAAAACACAGAACAAACAAAGAGTTCCTCTCCGAAATCTCATTCATAAATATGTTGAATGCAGACACAAAAAAAGACCCCTCACAGATCGTTCTAATATTAAAACTCAACCTCTACTTTCCACATGTGATCATCCTTGGGTGTCGGATTACGAGATCACCAGTTCAGTTATGTGGTGTCAGCTTTAAGTCGAAGCATGCAGCGTGCGTAGATCACTGACTGCATCAGGATTACCGTCTGCATACCAGTCTGTCTATGGAGATCGATTTAGCAGAAAAGGAAGGGTACTGCAAAAACTGGCTACAATTACTGTTCCTGATGCAATCCTACACGCCATTGATCTGAGTAACCTTGAAGACAGGGTGATCTTCAGTGGCACCCATGCTAGTTGGCCCAAAGAATAGCATAACTGAAAGCCCTGACAGCAAACTGTAGCCAAAGATAGCATCTTGCTGAAACTTCAAAATGAATTACCACAGCAAAAGAAATAGCCACTTAATGAGGCCTCTAGATGTGCAGCTGATTTGGCATGGCCTTGATTTTCTGGACTGTTCTGGGTGGACTGTGAAATCTGAGACTTAGGATCGACTGTGCCATGTGACTTTGTGGGTTCTTGCTAGCCAACAGTAGGACACCATATTAATAAATCCTCTACCCGCTGTTAGTTGAAGATGCCTGGTCAGCTTTAAAGGACAGGGGGCAGGAGAGGGTCACAAGCTCAGATTGGGATGGAGATCACTATACCATGTGTAGGTTTAGTGGCCCTGCCCCCTCATTTGACCGCTTAAAGAATCCCTGTAACAGCTGCAGTCTCTCCAGCTTTAGCATGGCGACAGCAACATTTCCCTTATAAGTCAATTATCTTTGTAATGCTGATCTACTGAAAGATATTTAATTTAGTTAGTATTAAAAAGTAAGACGACCTGTCGGGTAAAACTGCATTTAGACGACAATTCTTCCTCCAGTGTTTTTTGGTACCTCATGTTAGACATTCCTATATGTGCAAAGCTTTATTAATTCATTCATTTGTTATTTAAGATTGCACATGTTCCATTTTGCAGTGATAACTTATACTAAACACTACGGGTTATTTACCTTTGGATTGAGATGCTCTGTTATTAAAGTTGTTTAACATAAGTAAAGATTTCCGGACGTTTTTGATATTCAAACTATACAGACACCACCACAGCCAGACCCACTGTTTCAGCTTTCCTACTGAAGCTTTTGTTGATTATCCAAGAGGCAATAAACTTTAGGAACCTCCACAATTTTTTTTATGTTAATGGTAATCCTGTAATAGCAGGAACCTGCGACTGACTTCTCATTGAGACAGTTACTTCAAATGCTTTCCTGAACTAAATCACCTGTTGACTGTAGTACCAACGTTTTTCTCTCAACCCAGAAAGCCTTTGGGTAATAGCAAGAAATACAAGTGGTTTGGTGAAATCCTTGGTTGAAATCACACAAAGTGAAGACATAAGACTTCTTAAGTCAGACGAATACATCTACTAGTACATAATATCCCATCAAAACGAGCAATTTTAAGTGTTGCCTATATACCGAAACCAGAACAACAGATTTATTGTTTTCAATACGAGTTATCAACGGGATGACCAAGCAATGTTTTTATTGGCCATTATTATTGTTGAGGACCACTTCCGCAATGCTAACCAACTGATCAACTCAATCGTTGGTCTTCCTTTGCTTAACCTGGTCTTAATAAATATACTACTGGCAAGTGTGGGGAGGTATGTTGTGTGGGGATACGGAAGATATACGACGGTGCAAAGTGAAAGAAAGATACCACTGCGGGGAGTGCATGAGGTTAGCAGGCCTACTGCCCAGAGGGAAAAGATGTTACCTGAGAAGTGGGTTAGTATTGCTGTCAAGACATGCTCGGCAAGATGGTAGGCTTCAGCCACCCATTCGTCAATGGCTTCCACCTCTTTGGAATACGTGTTGTCGAGCACACAGCTGCTTTGTGAACAAGGAGTATGAGGAACCGAGGTGAAGGAAGACGGCTGTGAAGATGTAGCGTCGGGGTTCTCTTGATTCTGCTCAGAAACTGATGACAGCGGGAGAATCAACTCTTCTTCATCTTGACTGCTACCCAACTCTTTGAGAGCACTGATCGTAAGTTCTTCTTCGAAGTCTGTCACCATGCTTGGGGGGTTTTGGGAGGGAAGGAAACCAGTTTTGCTAAGGTCACTCTTAAAGGGCCCGTCTTGAAGAACATCATCCTTTTCTACATCTTGCTTAGACTTCAGGCACTCTCTCATAAATTCAACAAAACTATCTGTAGGTTCAGAAGCAACACTGTCACTGTTGAGCCTATCTAAGCTGGTTGATGTTTCAGGGGCAGAGCGATCCACTCTCATTTCCTGTTGGGTGGTTGCGCCTGGTTCAAGAGATGGGGGGGAGTTGCCGTTTTCTATGTTATCTGCAACTATTTCAGCAGTCACTTTCTTAATGGAGTCTTGTTTGCTGATACTGCTTTGTGTCTCTGTTTGGAAACTGGAATACGGGTTTTGAGGATATTCCTCGGGAGACGTTTGACCCAAAAAACTGCCGACGGCCTCATCCCCATTCAATGAAATTGTGCTGTCTGGACTTGGCCTGTCTTCAGCAATATCATTTTGTGAGGGATCAGAGAGAAAACTCTCTTTGGTGTTATTTAGCCCTTTAGCATCCTCTTGATCCAAAGGAGAGGTTAAATCATAGTCGTAATCAAATGATTGTCGGTCATAAATATCGTCCTGCATGAAACTGCTTACAGAAATTGGAGAGGTTTCCATATAAGCTTCTTTTGCTGTTCTATTGCCCTTTTCATCTTCTTTGGATTGGCTGTAAGGAGCTGGTGGCTTAAATGAAAGCTCAGTCTCTCTAGGTTTGACTAGCATATCTTGTACTTCATCGGACCACTCATCGCCATTGTCTGGGAAGTCCACCTCTTCATTTCTGTGTTCAAAAGGGGTTGGCTTATCGTTTTCATCATTTTTAGTTGTATGTGAATTATTCGATTGCTCTTGCGGAAAACCAGATGTAGGGTCTCTTGAAACAGATGGATCAGGTAGGACCTCAGATTTAGCGGGAGACTGCTCATGACCCGTTTCTTTTGTCATTTTAAGGACCTTGTGTTCGGGCGATTCAGCATCAGAATCCACAGGTGATGACGGAGGTGAATAGCCTTCCATGAATTCAGTTTCTAAGGGCCGTGTTTTGGGAGTCTGACCAATTTCTGGCTCTGGTTCTATTGCTTTGGAAGATTCTGTGGCTGGATCTTTAACCACCTCATAGTCCTCATCTTCCTCCGGCTCCGGCTCAATTTCCATTTCCATTTCCATCTCCTCATCACTGTAATTTGGCTCATCTGTCTCTATAACATTTATTGTTGGAACCTGCATTAGTTTCCTCTCAGACCTCGGGGGAGGAACCTCCTTCTCAGCAGAGGAAGGTTCAGTGGCTGTAGAAGTGGGGATACTGGTAGCCTCATTTGAAATAAGGGAATCAATAGATGGCGGGAGTGAAGACGCAGGAGCAGAGACTCCATCTTCAATTACAGTGTCATCTGACTCTCCTGAGCTATCTGCTTCACTTGGCTCTGGGTGTTCTGAATCCCCAGCCCAAGAAACTTTTTCTTCTTGCGGAACATTCTGTTGAGTGTCAGAGCCAGTTGGAGGGGAGGAAGGAGGAATTGCTGAACTCAAATTAAATGGAGCCTGAACACCAGATTTTTCCTGTTGATTCCACACGTAGGCTGTCGGCAAAAAGCTTATATCAAATTCCTCCTCAACTTCAGGCTGCTGTTGTGCACCACTTGCTTCATCTGCCTGTTTTGGGGCTTCAACAGGAGAATCCATAAAAGCATCTGGGACACCGGCAAACGCGGAAGGGGGGTCAGCTTCATCAAAGTCCTTTACTGCAGCATTGTTACTGTCTTTACTCAAACATACGGCATCAAAATCCAGCACCGGAGGCAAATGAGCCTTCATCCACTCTTCTGTTTCTTCAAACTCACTTACTTGTCTCATGTCTCCAAGATCCTCAAAGGGTGATTCTGGTGACTCCTGATCAGCAGAGCTTCCCATTTTCTCAGTTTTTGGAACAACTTTCTCGGTGTATGGAACAACTTTCTCATTGGGAGGTTTGGGGGTCTCAGGCGGAGGTCTGGGGGTCTCGGGTGGAGGTTTGGGGGTCTCGGGTGGAGGTTTGGAGGTCTCGGGTGGAGGTTTGGAGGTCTCGGGTGGAGGTTTGGAGGTCTCTGGCGGAAGTTTGGGGATCCCTGTGGAAGATTTCTCTTGGTGGCGATCCCTGAAGTGAGTAAAACTTCCATCACCTCTAAAGTCGAATTCTCTCTTTTTTGCAGCAAGAGCTTCAAGTGCCTTTATTCGCTCCGAAACAGGGGATGTTTTTACTGGAGATTCTGGTCCGTCTGCTTGCCCAGCTTCGCTTCCATAATTACTCGGTGAGAATGACCCAGGTTGTGAAGGAAAGCGAAGTGATGTAGCTACACCTTCGCAGGGCTTGTCAGAGCCTGGGGCCACACTCTTATCTGCCTCGCCATGAATGAACGACAGCAAAGAGGACAAAAGTGGGCGATTCACATTTCTAATATCATTCAATCAAACTTTAAGGTAACAGCCCAAGCATTCATGCACTGCATCATGAGAGTGTAATGCGCATTCATATGGATGGGTTCTTAACTTTTTGCATGCTGCTCTTACCCATTTCAAAGTTGACATCAGGCAGCATTCAGCATGGGAATTGAACTAAATGATAAAATGAAGCATGTGGCTATGGTGACGGACCTTTAGGATAGAAAGTGTATACAACTTGCAGGCTTGAAAGCGGTTTCTTTTTGAAAGAGTTCGTTAGAAGCACACTTAAATAAATCCCAAACAAATTCTTCAGCCACCGTTGCATAAAAAAAAGGATTTGGGCATCCTGTTATTACATATTAAGTTACAAATAGCGCCATACTTCTCTAACAGATTCTTCCACCTCAACAAGTACTCACTTGGATATGTTAGGTTTTCTTCTGACAAGTAAACATCAAATGCTGTAAAAACATGTGGGTAAAAAAGTGGGAGTCACTGAAGACAGTACTTCTAGTTTAAAAACCCCAAATGAAAACGTCAAACTAATTTATTAGCAACTTCAAGCTACAGGTACCTTCATTGAGGACAAAAACCAAAGTGAGAAAAAGAGAATATGGGAAAAGAGAAAACCTGTTTGTGCTTATTTCTATTGATTTTTTCATTAATCATGTATTATCATGCACACAAATGATAATCTAGTCCAATCTTCATATTAAAGCAACATTCAATAAGCATATGTTTAAAAAACATTCTAATAAGATATTTTAAATCATTTGAACTTTATACCTGATATGAAGATTTTCCAAATGTCATCATCAACTATTTAGAATAAAGACCAAAAAAGTCAAATAGTCACCACAAAACTCTTTCCTAAAAATATTTCTTCAGACTGTGTAAACACGCCTAGTATTCTTCAGCATTAAGGAAACTAAAAACTAAAAGGGAAACTAAATGATTATTCACAAAAAGATGCCAATAATGTTCTTATAATTTGTAAGGACCTCAGTTGAGCTATCCTGTTCACAGTGCTTAATGGTATAATGTTGACCTGGAGAATGAATCTAGATGCACAAGTATAAGAAGCATATCAAAGGGGAAAGAATAACATTGCATCACATTAACTCAAGATTCCTGGTGGGCTTCATACCACTTTTTAAAATCAGCATTGTTACTGTACACAAAAAGAGAACATCAGAATGCAAAGAGTTAGATACTCTTGCAGCTTCTTCTGTGTATATATCTTCTTTATATCAGGAGGTGGCCGTAGTTTAATCTGCACAGATAACTCTCGTAAGGGCTGACGTTCATTAGATTTATCTTACCAGCAAAAATTTCTTTATAAAAATTAAAGTTGACAAACAAATTACTAAAAACTTTATGAAGTCATTTATTTAGTCCATGTCTAGAAGTTCCTTCTTGACATAAACCTTGCACGTGAGGCCTGTTATCAGCATCACTCTAATCCTATCCAACGTTTTATAAGCAATTATTTTTATGGGTGTGCGACTGACTGGATCACTTTGTTTTGATAGGACAGCCACCTCCTTTGCTCCACAATACAAGGCCTTGTTCAAACTAGGCCACACAAATGGACGTTCCAACTGTGTAGTCTGTAGGCTCCGTACTTGTAAACAAATTCCACAACACTTGGTGCAGGGACAATAGTTTATATAGGTCTACTTTATTTATTACTACTATATTACTTTGTGATCAAATGTCACCTACAATAATCATTAACTTCTCACATTTATTAGTCGTTAGATCCCTTCCTGTTCCCTAGTTTGTGTTCTGTTGGACTTTTTCATTCGTCTTGGGTTGTTAATGCAACTTATTTTCTTCTTATAGCATTTTCACATTAAAAGCCTTATTATACACACAGTTTCTAGATTTTTGTTTTTTTTAGACAAGCCATTCTTCTACTTATTTCTGATGTTCTCTTAGCTCCTCATTACCATCGTCTGATCTCACTTGTTCTTTGTGTCAGATGTTTACTCCTTTATATTAGCAAGTAACTGGAAAATGTACAATTTACAAAAGGTAATGTAAGGGTTCAAATTTGTGACAATATGGGACATAATTATGAAATTTTGCCAATTGATAGTTTTGGAAAACCTATGTGAGTAATACCTTTTGGAGAAGTCAGAAATTGTATTCCCATTGGATGAAACAAGCTTACATGCTCACTTTAACTGTAAAAATGTGTCATAACAGCCCCAGTTTTTAGGACAATTTAGCTGATTATCTAAAGGGTCTCAGACAACATACTGGAAAATCTGGAAAAGCGCAACGTCAACACGCTGGATTTAAAGAGAAACTGCTGCTGCTTGTAAAAATGACACTTCTTTTTATCCTGCTACTGAACACGACTGTCAGCGTTGTTGGCTTCATTCATTGCTGGTGAAATAAACACAATCCAAATTCCTGACGCTAGACCTCCCCTACAGCCCTAAAGAGCAGTGCTTAGCAACACCCTTACCATTTTTTTTTACACTTTGTTTCACAAGGTTGGAGACTCTGAATCATTATTATTTGGCTGAAGTCCAGGCTGTACCCCACCTCTTGCCCAGTGACAGCTGGACTAGGCTCCAGCCTCCTGGGACCCAACAAGAATTAGCACAATAGACAATGGATGGATCGATGTTTGGATGGAATTTGTAAGAACACTTTATTTTCTGCAGCATGTAACACTCAGAACTTTAAATAACAACCACAACCTTGCAGAATTCCAATTACGCTAAACAGCACAGGTCAAAAAGCAAAACTAGCTAAAGTAGCTAGTGTAGCTATTGAAAATAGCTAAACTATTTTCAAAATAGCTAAACTGTTTTCAATGCAATGATTTGAGACATGCACATAGCCTAAGGAGCAATAAGCAACTTATAGGTTGGAGGGTGGGTGAGCAGCCACAGGCAATGGTGGCCCGGGCCACTGGGTGGTGGGTGATATCTCCAGTGCCACTCATCCTCTATGATGCAGTTAAGACTGGGGGTGGGGTATTCAGATACTAAAGCAGGGGGAAGGTAGGATCATCCCCACGGGGACACAAACCTGATCTACTTTTAGGTTTCTGCTCGTGTGCACAATGTGAACTTGAACTTCTGTGCTTTCTTAAAATAAGGTGGCAATCTTGGGATTATCTTGAACCTACAGTGAGCGATGCTGACCTAAATAATGCTAGCTAGCTGGTGGGAAGACTGAAAGGGATTACCACGTAAAGCTCAAAGGCTGTAGAGGCAGTGTTTTGCGGGTGTATTTCTAATGGTTGTTGAGACTAAGTACACTAAGTAGCTGGGATGAAGTAGTTTTGTGCACTGACTCAAGGTGATCCATAATTTGATTGATCACCTCAATAGGGCCAGAGCCATGCTATTCAAAATGTAGACTATATATATAGATAGCCGAGAAGGCATGTAATGGCGGAGTCACGGCTGCTAAGGTTAAAGTCATGTATATATACACACATACGTGCTTTGTGCCCAAAAATAAACTGACCAGAAAACGTGTCAATAGGTCAAGAATGCCATTTTGAACATTAACTGGGCAGGTTTTCATCTCAAGAGTTAGGAGGGTCACTAGATTGTTACCTGGGAAAAATACAGCAAGTGCTCTTAAGAGTCAGTATTCTAAGCCAATGTCAGTGCGAGATAATGTTTATAAGAAGCGGGCAGGAAATAACTGAGGTAGGAAAGCAGCTGGGGAACGGACAGACGCTCTCTTTTTGGCCAGTTGGTTGTGTTTTTTCATTTGAGTCTTGCGAGCAGGAGAGGGGCACCAGATAGAGGAATGAAGTAGAGCAGTAAAGCACAAGCCAACGAGATAGAACAGTCAAGAGGGATAGAGCAGCAGAGCAGCGTAAGAGAACCAAACACTTGCCTTGAGAAGATTGAATGAGAGATACAGGCGAAGAGGAAAGAAAGGAATCTGAAAAAATGAAAAAAGAAAGGGCAGAAGAATGGTCATCCTAGAAGAAAATAACTCCTATCCACTGAAACCCAACCAAATATGGCATTCAAGTCAAGAAAAAAACAGTTAACTTATTCAACTCAAAATACTCTACAATAACTATCAATATTAAACAAAGATGCGCCATGCATTCAGTTTCATCTATTTCAATAAACCTACACATGCATTATACATGCACTTACTTATGCTGGGGCAAAAAAAACTGCTTTAATGACACAGAATCAGTCTTTTAGCTGTAGGTTGTTGACGAGAACAAAAGAAAATACTCTCCACAACTTTACCCCAACTGAAAAAACACTAAGAGACTTCTTTAGCCAATAACAAAGACTGTGGGTTTAAGATGCTACTCTGGGTACCCTGAAAGCAAGGCTCTCCTGCAAACCACACAACAATCAAATAGGAAAAACATACTGGACATAACCTCATACTATGGTCATATAGTTTGGATTTAAGATCTTTCCTGGTCTCAGTTATTTCTAATTGAGGGAAGGCCACAGTGTATTTAGATCTAACTGTTTGTGGTCATATCACATGAATGGAAATGGACAAAAAAGAAGAAAGGGTGAAATATTACTGTTTCTTTTATTTTTTTATTTCCAACATAGGGAAATAAATTATGTGCGTAATACATGAGATCAAAGCTTAAAAAAGGGATAAAAGGTTCAAGGCTGTATGTGGTGATGAAGTTCCATCCCTTTTCCTCAAAATCATATGAGACACATGAGTTCAGGGGCGTATCCTCAGAAAGGTACGCTTCATTTTCCACTAAACTGAGTAGAAAATTGCATCCAACACGCCCGTTTTCCAAGTTAATGGCAGATATCCAAGTCGACAAAATTGCATTTCACTGCGTCATTAGAATCTGTGTCATTCACACAACAGCAGATTCAAAGAAAGACTGTAAAAATCATAATGCTACCAAAACAGTAGACTTCTTTTTCTTTCTTTTTTTTTTTTTTTTTAGAAGTCACTACATAAAAGACACAACCCCTAACACCTAGATTCAGCAGGACATCTTGGACGGTCTGCACATTCCACAGCAAGCACTTTAAACAATCAATGAAGACCACTTAGACCAGGTCTGCAACATGAATGACATGCAAAAGACACATTAACAGAAGTTTAAGACACTTAAACGAGTTTAAAAGAGACAGTCTGTCCAGGGGTGATCATAAGCTCAGATTTTAGACCTAAATGTTTAAATTTTTACCAGGTCTGTTCGATCTGTTGCGAAATCCGGAAAACAGGAGGTTATTTAACGGGTCTCTGGTTATCTCCGGTTATCTCTGGTTATCTCTGCTCGGGAGGTTGACACTGCAGTCCAAACCAAAACTGATATCAGTGGATTATGCAACAGATCTGGGGAGAGGTGACGGGTAAACCATGAAAAGTTTGTTCTGTGAGCCCTGACATGATTGAGTCAACATTCCATTGGCTTTTCTGCCCATTGGGGTCAGAGTTTTAAATTCCTTAGTCTCTATGGATCAAGAAGACAATAAAACTTGTTTTCTCTCAATTAAAAGGCTCAATCCCAATTCTCCTCCATCATAAACTCAAGATGATGACAGGGGAAATCTGCAGGAGTTGCAGCGTGTGAAGATTAGGTGGGGCTGCAGGGATCTTTTGGGCTGGGTGAGTTTGCGCAGGTTGAGCAGGTTGAGGTTGCCGAGCCCTGGTGGGGCAGCATTCCTTCACCTGGACTCACAGCATGGTTGGCCCTCTCACTAAACCACACCTTAACTTTTGTAAATCACACATTTCAAAGTCTCGACTTTCACACGTGGAGGAGTGGCGGAGGGTGAAAATGAACATTAGGTTTATTAACTCAAAGCTGAGTTCCAGACAAAAGATGTTAGAGACAAATCTGAACAATAAAGCCATCTTTTGTACAAAAGGTGCTGAGGAGAATGTTGAGAGCTTCTTTTCATTTCAACATGAATATGATAAAAAAAAAAAAAACAATGAAGGTCCAAATATGTTAATTTACATTCTGATAATTACCTCTAAGTGATCAAGACACTGCTTTCAGTTTTTGGTGTGAAACTCTTTTGATAATAAATACATTAAGTGTTTATGGCCTGATCCAAGAAAAAAGGAGAAAAAATACTTTTTTTAGTTTGAAGTTTTTTTGGGGCCTTTTAACAAAATATAATAATCTTTTTTTTTTAAATTAAAAATCATTTAGTCAATATGATTGTGGTGCAGTCTTCTGCCCGCCTTTTATCGGATATATCTGATTGTGTACAAAAGGGTTTTGAGCAAAGTTTTTACCATTAAATGATGAACAGGTAATTTCAGGAACCGTATGTATCAAATACATACAGATACATATGGCAGAGTTAAAAACTCTGAGTGTGCTCACTCTGCTTTGTGTGTGCAAACAGCCAACGCTGTTTCTCAAACGAAGTGTTTAAGCAAACTATCTAATGTATGTGAGACAGTCTTTACACCAACTGAATGTTTAGTTTGAGCTTTCATAATGAACATCAGAAATGTCAAAGTGTTCCTTGGTGGATTTTTTGTTTACTCACTGCTGATTGCTGCCTTCCTCTACCATATCATGCTATATATCATCAACACTGGGGGAATAGAGCACTCTTCTTCTTTGACTTAACGGTAACTAAACAACAACATAACATTACAAATGAGTTTTCTCTGATGCCTCGAAGCAAATTAACAATATCATAATCATTTTCAAATAAGCTCTAAACGCTTCTTTTTGTTCCTTTTTGTCCACATGCCCATTATGATGCATTTTCTTCTGTTATTTTCCAGTTTTAACAAGATCTAAAAACTTAAAAGCTTCAATAAGTAATATATTGTCACGAACCTCTAAATTTGGCAGCAGAAAACCTGTTGAAGGGGTTAGACTGAGCTTGAGTATTAAATCTGTCATTTCACGGCCTCAGTATGACGCTGGTTCTTTAAACTGAGGCCTTGGGCTCATCGACTTAATATTTTTCAGAAATTCATGGCGCATTCTCTGAAGCCTGTAATTCCTGCACTGGTTCTATCTTGTACTCCCCCTGAGGATCTATTTGATTCCCTCTGTCATAACATTTTGGCTGATCCAGGCAGGACTAGAGGAGGGAGGGTCAGCCTGGCAGCACAAGCAGAGAAGGGCCAAGCTTTTACAGACAGACACCCGAGCTGAAAGCCGATCTCTAGCCTGCAGCAACATAAATCTTACTCTGTTTGTATATGACCATTCTTATGTAGGAATAAGAGGGATCTATTACTGACAAGGAAATATAGTCACTCAATGAGAAGGTGAGGATTTCTGCCAAGTGTTTGCAGTGTGACAAGGACCTTCTCAGAGTGGAGGACTTCTGAAGGAAATGTGCTGAAGTCGTTTTTGAGGCAACACCAAAACCATTAGCACAGATACATTAACATTCTAAAGAAATCCTGGCCTAGCTTTTCCATCAATTCTGATGCAACTGTCTTTAAGAAATTGAGCCCTCATTTCTAAGTGTGCCACTTCCTTAGTGACTGCTGTCACTCTCCAGTGCACGTCAAATAAATCTGGCTCAGCAACAGGCAGAGCCCGGAAAAGTGAAAGCTACGCCGTCTGGTAGATGCCACATCTGCGGATCATTGGATATATTCCGACTCTTCTGCCTCAGTCAGTTTATTCATGAGTGAGAGGGTTTCTTTTCATTAATCCTTTCATTTCTTCAAACTGATTGTTTATCTATGGAGCGCTTGGGCAGATGCAGTCTGTTCCAGATGACACTGGAGGCCACTAGATATGTAATAATAATCAGAAATAACACGACGAAAACATGTTTGTTGTTTAAATGGAAAAAAATCAAATAACACTGTTTAAATTGAAAAAAATCAATGTATTATATGCGTAAATTTGTATTTTAAGTGAGAAAAAAGGAACTTTAGGAGTAAAGCTAAATAAAAAGTAAATGAACCCATGAGAGTTCTTATTGGCAAAAGCTACAAATAAAAACCGATAAATTAGGGTGAGATATGAGCCCATTTTAAACAGAGAACTAATATTGAACTGCCAGCAATGGCTGATATTTAGTTTATTTTGGGGTTTTTTTTTTCCATCACATGAACATGATGACTGTGGATATTTGTTTTTCCATTGATAAATCCATCAAATGAGCATGAAAAAAATAGCTTTTTTTCTCCAAGTTTGTATCCCAGCAGATTTCGAACCATTTTCTACTTTGGTTCCAATTCGTTCTTCCTTTGTGTGGGAAACCAAACTAAATCTAAGAGGGGCATCGTGTGCCACACCCTGCCTTTCCAACACCAGCTGCAGTTCTTTAATGCCCACAATCCGCTTGATTAACCCTGCATGGCTGTCACAGATTTCCCAACGGTTACCGTGTAAGGGCGAGCCTTGGAGCCTGGATCTCAAATCTCTGCCTCACCCAGAAACATACACAGTGATGGCAAAAAAAACAACCCCTCCCAGGTGCACAATAACCTGTCATCTAGATCCACAGACAACAATGACCCCTTTGTTTTAAGGGGACTCATCCAAATGGCGTAGCTGGAAAATGTCAGAGGCTTCCAAACTGGGAGGGAGACCACTGGAAATGAGGGGGGGAGGAATTAGTGCAAAGGGTATTTAGTAATGTTGTTTATTATCAAGAAAAAACCCACAAGAAAAGAGGCCGTGCGGCTTTAAGAGGGTCCTCCCTTCCTTGGCAGTTGCCCAGTAACAATGCATCTGCACTGCAGAGCATCGCGACGTTTGGCATCTACGACGCTTTGTCATCGTTTACCTCACCGTACAAACCACCCTACTTTTTATTCCTTTAAAAAATAAAAATAAAAAAAATAAAAACATTCAACGTGCTCGCTTTAAAAATAAATTTAAAAAACGCAAACGTCATTACACGGTTCGGAATGACATATTTCACGTAGGCCACATCAGACGAACAAGTGCCATTCATTCTTCTAGAAAAAAAAAAATGGTTTACGTCTTTTGTTTCTTCTTCGCCCAAAACAGTCCCACCGTCTCCCCGCGTGTCAGTAAATTCGAACGCGGACAACATATATCCCTCCCACCGTCTGCCAGACAGCCTTTTAGGGCTGTGAGCAAGGCCACGTAAAACTGTCAGACCCGTAAAAAGACAGCCACGCATTGGCGTGAAGGCCAGAGCTGCGAACACCGTCATTAGTGGCCGTGTGTCCGGACACACCGGCCATTAAAAGTCCTCAACACGATAACGTCAACCAGTTCAAACAACCACGCAGTGACAAGCGGACACCTTATGTCAGACGAGTGTGTAAAGCCTTTAAACTGTATAATTTAAGACAAAACATACAACACGTTACGCAAACAAAACAATTAAGCAGCCGACTTTACTAAGAGGTAATTCTTACCGGATAGCTTCGATTCTTTGGAAGCTGAATTTTGTCCATCAGTTAAACCTTGCGACGATGATATCTGGGCGGACTGAGTCGTTGGATCCATTTTACTGTAGTTTCGTGACAACAGCTCAAAGACGGCGAAATGTCTGTCGTGCTAGCGGAAATGACTGATATCGTCCTTTCAATGCGTACGTATCGTTCGACTTTCCTAAAGTTTCTCCAAGAGGGAGTCTGCAGTCCGCACCTCAACGCAACGTCGGTGCAATGAGAAAAGATCAGAGATGGAGGGAAACAAGGCAGAGTCAGACTATGGAGGAGGGGTGAAAAACATGTCGGGCGTGGGACGTTCAATGTCTCTGCTTAAGCTCCCCTCACGCTGAACTTGAAAAATATAACTCCTCTTTCTTATGAAATATACTAACATTACTCTATTATAACCACAATTCCTTGTTAAAAATCCTCCCATTCTCGTTTTTATTTGGATTAATATGAGATAGAACCTTCAGTATCTGGTAAACTTTGCTATTTTGTCATGAACACAGAAATAATCGACTGCAATTGAAAGCAACTTGAAGAATATTCCTGAACAAAGTCCATGGTCTTTGCCTTTTTTGCATTTTGACCCTTGGTACGGCCAAATCGTGTGATTACGAAATACATTTGTGAAAGAATAATATATTTCGTATGGAATGTAATACATAATTCGTTTGAGTTGTCATATAGTTATAGCAACGTTGATTAAATTGATTGTAATCATAATGTGTTTTCGTCGTCATCTTACAATTAAATGTTACTAAAACTGTGCGTGTCTTAATTAAGCCTGTCTTCCATTACATAATATTTCTTTCCATTTTGCAGTCTCTTGACTTCTAAACAGGCATCGTGCTGCCCTCTACTGTTGGTTTTACGCTTTACATAAGAACTGCATTTCCCAGCATACAGCGGGAATCCGCTGGCCCTGAGCTGTAGATCTACATACACACGGATGGATCGAACTGGCATCCATTGAGTGGATGTTCACCAGCGACGATGTTATGAAATCTGTTGTGCAGAGCATACGTTGGGACTTGGAACACACACCAACTGACTTTCGGGCAGACCAAACTGCGCGGTAAAAGACGAGGTACACAAACAAAAACATGTGGCTGGGGCCGTGAGAAAATCGGTATGTAATATCTTACGAATTGTTCAAATGTTTACTCAATAATAGCTCAGAGTAGCTCAATTTTACAACATAACTTGGTTGTTTATTTAGCTAAGACCTTAGGGGGATACCCGTTATCTAAAAGTGAGTTTAGCTAACTAGCAGCCTGTTAGCTTGTTAGCAGGTTCCGAACCGCCTAGCTGTCCGTAGCCAGCACCAACGAACCTGTTTATCGCCATTTGTAGTCTGATATGATTATGTATCATCTTTGTCTCACCAACCGAAGTAATAAGACATTAATTCAGAAAAAGCTTAGACGAGCAGCCAGTCAACTCATTCAAGGAAAGTTAGCTAGTTAGCCTACGTCAGCCAACATGTCAAGCAAATTAATTAATCTAACGAGGAAATTTTGTGCCGCGAAGGAAATATTTGGACTCTGTGATATTGTGGATACGCTACCAGGTGGAAGCAGATATCATGAAGCTCATTAGACTAGCGTTTATCCCTTGGCAGTGAGTGTATGAATAGCTGTGGAGTGCCCCGCCCACCACTATCCAGGCTGCCCGTGTGGGATTGATGTAACCGGCATTATGCAACGTATCAAACTGCGTGGCTTGGGGTCAGTGCTCATGTGTATGCTCAGAGTACATAGCGTGCCGTATCCATGATAACTTAAGCACGATCATTTTAGTTAGCGTCATTAGTGAGTTTGATGCTAATTCGGGCTGCATGAGGACCAGACACCCAGCTCCACAGCGACGATCTCCATCTCCAAACGTGGTGTTTGATGAACTAATGTAACCTTAAGCTTTTTATGATCAGTTAGACAAAATTATTTAAATCATACTCAGAAAAAGTAACCTTGCATCTTAAACTGAGCTGATTTCGCAGTCTTTCTCCTCAGTGGCCATTAAATGGTTGGACTTTAACTATTCCATTCCATAAACACCAATGTTTATAAATATATACTATGTATAGGATACGTTTGATAAACATGGGTAAGAAAAAATATTTTTAAAAGCCAATTCATAGTCTTAGGAATAAAAAGTTGAATGCTTTTTAACATGACTAATCTCAGAATGACATCATTCTACAAGGTGAGTGACATCTGCTGGTGATCTTGGTTTAAGCCAAGTTTTTTTTTTATCATACTATGGCCATGTATTCCTCAGCTATCAAAAGCTCTACTGAATCTAAACATGGTTGTAAATCAGACTCACTTTTATTTTAAGACTTTCGGGGAAGTTGTGGCAATAAAATGTGAGGAAAGAACAAAGCTAGACTTCATTTGTAACAGGCAGTTCTTACATTAAAGATGAAATGTCATAAAACTGGGCAAACCGAGTCATTAAATACCTTAAATTGTATTTAGATTTTGCTTTTAGAGAGGAGAATGGGAAATATTTGTGTGTGTTGCTTGTGTGTATGAAGTATGTCCCTGGTAAGAACTATTCATGTTGGGTTAATCTAACGTCTCTAACATTCACCTTGCAGGTGAGGACTCATCCATTCATCCGTACGATGGGTTTGCACTCAGCCCAGAAGAAGCACTTCCCCCTGCGGGGGATAGACGGTGTTGTTCAGCTGTTTGATGCCGAACTCCGCAAGGCCGAGCCGGACCTGGCTCTCCTCTCTCTGGTTCTGGGTTTTGTCGAACACTTCCTGGCCGTGAACCGAGTCATCCCCATAAATGTCCCCGGGGTGAGATTTGAGCCCCTGGAGCCAGACTGTCCTACCTCTTGCTTCCCCACCGTGGAGCTGGGCATGATCTCAGCCCTTTATGAGCGCTTCACGGCCCAGATCCGGGGGGCGGTAGACCTGTCCCAGTACCGGAGGACTGCTGCGGGGTCCAGCAGAGACCTGGTGAAGAAGGTCTCCGACGTCATCTGGAACAGTCTCAGCCGCTCCTACTTCAAAGACCGGGCTCACATCCAGTCTCTCTTCAGCCTCATTACAGGTACAGAACAACAGTCTTTAAAGTATTTTCCTCTGAGAGCTTCAGTGGTTGTTGAAACTCATTGGAATAAAATGCAGTGATTTTTTTTTTTTTTTTTCTCAACTTGCATCTTATTAAAACCATTATTAAGATTTCATCAGAGAATGACCTTTCATTAGTAATACAGAGCTATTGATGACACTCATTGATCAAAGCTTACTCCTTCATGTGAAAAAACACAGAAGAGAGTGTCCAAAGACATGATCAGACACAGTATTTGATCCACAAAATCAAAGCCATATATTTAAAAGTAAGATTAATTATTGCTGGTAGAATATAAACCCTGTTTTATACACTGGGGGGTGCAGCTCAATCCTTATTTTTAAAAACTGGCTGATTGATATAGTTAGTGGAATTGCAGGAACAAAAACGTCTGCCAACAACTCTATCACAATTTCCAAACTAGCTACGGTTTCTGTTAGTTCCTCCTTTAAGAGGAGCATCAACATTTTGTTAGTGCAGTCTTAAAGAAAAAAAAAAAAGGCCTTTTTTGTATTTAGAGCACCGTTTTCCATTTCAGTCCTACACTTGTATTGACAGTCTCACTCTATCATTTGCAGATATGTCATTTTACTTATTATTTTGTACAAACCTATGCTTAGCACTTGAAATTATAGACTAATCCTGTTTACTAAATTGAAGTTTCTGTCTTCTAATTGCCTAATGTTCGTTGGACCTTAACCAGGCACCAAACTGGACAGCTCTGGGGTGGCGTTCGCAGTAGTGGCGGCCTGTCAGGTGTTGGGTCTGAAGGATGTTCACCTGGCTCTATCAGAAGACCACGCTTGGGTGATATTCAGCAAAAATGGCGAAGAGACCGCGGAGGTCACTTGGCATGGGAAGGGGAACGAAGATCGCCGGGGACAAACGGTCACAGCAGGAGTTAATGAGAAGGTCAGTCTCATTTATAATTGATTATTGAATCAAAACTTCCCAGTTGCTTTGCTTAGAACCATGCATTAAATCTGACTAATCAGATTTTTTTGGTCTTTTCTACGTATATATGCATTCAGAATTTATACTAATGGTGTTACCATGTCATTTTAGTGTTTTCAAATGTTTTTTTTTTTCTCCATTCAAGCAGAGCTGGTTGTATCTGAAGGGCTCGTATATGAAGTGTGACAGAAACATGGAGGTGGCCTTCATGGTTTGTGCCATCAACCCCTCACTAGACCTGCACACAGACAGTTCGGAGCTCCTGCAGCTGCAGCAGGTGAGCGCCACCACCTGTTCTGCCATGGGATTATTACACGTGAATAATAAAGACATGAAGCTGCTGGAGCTGACACTGAATCCCTGCACAGTTTTAACCCAGTGACATGTTCATTCTTCTTAAAAAAACAGAAACCTCTTCCTTTCAGCCCTGTGTTATCGCCCAAAAACGTTCACTGATATTTCCCTACAAAATCTGCTGCTGCAGCATTTTCTCTGCTACTTTAGTCTAAAAAATTACCAGCTGACGGTTAAAGAAAATTAAAGAAAATTACAATTAGTGGGGGAAGTTTCATGTCCCTAAGCCACAACTTGGTAGAAAATTGGAATTTACCGAAAGTACAAGCTCTGCTGAAGGGGAGAGGTTTTGATGGTGTGGAAATATATATTTAGTGAATATATTATGTATGTCTCAACATGAAAGATAAAGTCTGCTTTAATGATGCACAATGGTGTGACTGAATGATGGGATGCTCTAAATTTGAAACAGATAGCAGAATGTTAACGTGCTATGAAAATAAAAGCAACGGCAGTTTGCTTCTAACTAATCTTGGCTAAATGCTTTTCAAAAATTGCATCAACTCATAAATTTATCTTTTCTTTCTGTTTTTTGGGGATTTTACAGAAACTTCTGTGGTTGCTTTATGAGCGAGGTGACTTAGAAAGGTAGGTTTTTTGTGTTTGTTAAATTTACAAGAAAAAACACAGTATTTCCCTTACTCTGGTAAGTATTTATTTAATCATATGCACCTCTTATTCTGCGTTTTTCATCAGGTATCCCATGGCAATGGGTACGCTCGCTGACCTAGAGGATCAGGATCCAATACCAGATAAGGAGAACCCCTTGAAAATCCATCTCAAGGTACATCGTTTTAAAGGTTTTCTAAACATTAGCTAAAATCAGCTATAACCAAGCATCAGAAAGGTTTTCTTTCCAAAAACATTGTAATCCTCCATATAAATTTAGATTTGAATTTCAGATTTGTGATGAGAGAGCATGCGCCTGGGGAAAAAAAGGGGGAAATCTGTTACAAAAAGTGTTTTCAGAAGTGTTGCTGGAAACTGAATTGAGAATAAATGCTGTTGCAGAAACAAGACCAAAAAAACATGATGGTAAAAAAGAAATGTATGTGGAAGACTGAAATTGCCATGACATGAATAAGTATAGATGACAACCAAAATGAGAAATTATTTGCGCTAAACCAATTTTTCCCAATACAAAGAATTGATTTAAACCATTAAATTCATTGAAAGCATTCGTTTCAATAAATAAACTAATGTTGCTATTTACTTTCAACTGCCACTAAATCAGCAATCTTTTCCCCCACATTTCATAGTGGGGAAAACATTTCATAATACATTTGATATATTCATTTTTATTTTATAATTTCTTTATTTTGGTATTGTTTTTCATTTAATTCTGATGCAAATTAAACTGATGTATTCTTTTTTCAATAAAATTCTTATTCATTTAAAATGGGGGTGGAATTCTACAATATTTATACTTACAATAATATCTCTGTCTTTTCCACTTTGTGTTTATTTACCCAAGCTTGTTTATTTTTCTTTACATTTTCTGTACACGTTTCTGCAGAATTATGCAAAACCAAGAGGTGGCCTATCAGAATGTGTCACAGAAGGCCCATTTTGTAGCACGGCTACGTAGACAGGAAGTGGGAAGGCTAATGGCGTTTGAGGCAAGTTGAACTTGCAGTAAGAATAACGGCGTAAATGCGGTTTGTTGCACAGCCTTTGATTTTGCGAAAGCTTTGCAACAAACTGCAAGAGAAATAACCAAGAGATTGGAATGAATGGAGAGAAATGAAAAATGTTTATATATATATATGTATATATATATATATTCAATTGTATAGTGAAATCAAATTAAAATATAGAAATACCAAAAATGAAGAGAATGAATGAATCATTATCAATATAAAGGAAAGCAACACAGAAATAAATGTAAGGAAAACAAACAAGCTTAAAAATTTAAAATATTCAAATGAGATTGACAAATTTAAGTTGAACACTGAATGACAAAGTATATTAACGGTTAAATTAACTCTAACATCGAGGAATGTCTTTCAAATTAAGGCCTGAAATTTTCATTTTCTACAATTGTTTTGCTGTTTGAGTACAAATCCATTTTGAATTTAATTTAAGTTGTGTTTTCATACTTATTTAGCCATTGATATATATATTTTTTTGCACTCAGATTATGGCTGTTTCAGTCACCCATGTGTCTGGTCGTGTCTTAAATCATTAAATCATCCCAGATCACAATGTCTGACAGGAAGTTATGCTCACTGCATGATTCCCCGATGTTTGCTAAAGCTTAATTCGATCCCTCAAACCAAAAACTTTGGAACGGCGCACCTTGTTTCCACATACTTGCATTTTCAGATGCGAGTCAACCAGAAATCCTTTTATCCCTGCTGGAATCCCCATAATCTTTGAAAAACAAGAGAAACTTGGCCTTCAGTTTCTACTCTCAAAATCCACGTCGGATATAAGATACTATACACAGATATTTTACTACATATAGAACACCTAACAGCAACCCGTTAAAATGTTTTGACTGTGATTGGACTGAAGTCTTAATTTGTTTAACAGACCAGCCCAAAGTGGTCCACACTAAGAGGCCAAATTCTCCAGATGGTGAAATAAGATGTAAAAAGCGGCTGTGTTTTTTTCTTTCTCACTTCCATAGGCCGTCGACTCAGCACAGAAGTACTACAACAACGAGCACATCTACCCCTACATGTATCTGGCCGGCTTCCACTACAGACACAGGAACGTGCGGGAGGCTCTGCGGGCCTGGGCCCGGGCAGCTCAGGTCATGCAAGAGTAGGTTCAGACCCTCTTTTCTCTTTTACATCCCAGGACAACATAAACCCCAGCTAGCCACGAAAAAGAAAACACATCAGGGTGAATAGTTTTTTTGAGGGGGAATCCTTGTGGTGTTGTAGAGGAAATGGGTAAAGGGGTTTAAAACTGACTTGACCAAAGCGTCAGGAACCAGAGCTCTGTTTTGTTCTTCCATTTTCCGCTATTCCATTATTCTAATTTCATTTGACACAAATTAAATTAATCGTCTGTAATTGATGATATCAAAAGCTTTATATTTGTGAAGCAAACTTGAGGTCCAAATTAATAACTGGTATATACTGATTGCATCTTAAAAAGGATCTAAACAGGTCATATCTTCCAATAACTTGATTACGTTTTGCTTTGCTGAGTCTGATTTGACCAGATACATGACACACTGATTATGTGTGGTCAATCCACTGGCCAGAATCACCAGAACTGAACTAATCATCCAAGTAGAAAAGCACTGCAGTGATTAAGATGATCAAAGTAATCATTTTTAACAATATTACCAGTGTTCCAACATTAGGATGGACTGTGTTGTTTGGCCTCCACTCAAACTTTTCTGTACATTATTCCAGTCTTAGGCAGTCAATCACAGCAGAACTCATGTCCAATCACTTCAATTATACAATCAAATTCAAGCCAATTATTATCAAAATCCTATCAAATGTACTGTCTTTCCTTTTTGAGTTGATGCAATCACTTGTGACATCTTCATTTATGTGTGTATTTATTAAGTTGTTAATTTTCCAGCAAGCAATCAAAGGTTAGAAAGGTGTGAAAACCAAGAATAACAGTCTATTTTATAGAGGTTTTTAAGAAAAAACATCCATCCAGTTAGGATTAAATCTATTATTTTGCATATATAACATGCTTGGCACCATCTCGGAAAACCCTAAACCCCCTTTTTTTTTTTTTTTTACTTTGTCATAGAGAAACATTAGAATTTAATTGAATTCTTCAGTATGAAACATCTTTAAACTGATTTCTTTTTCATATACACACTATTCACATCACAACATACCAAAACCAACAAGTGGAAATGTTGGCCAGGACTTAGAACTCAGAATTATTCCCATTTATGCACAGACTAATCTATCTTGACACCGGTCCACGACAGAGCCTTGAATCATAAGGCCAGACCAAAAGCGGATGCTAATCTTTACTGAAAGCATGTTATTAGCAGAGCAACCTCAGCTAACAGCCTCAGCAGAGATTCCACTGAATGGACACAGGATGGCAGTAAAAAACATCTTTTTTTGCACACATGTTGTCATTTCCTCATAGATTTTCCTCTCATTTAGTGCTATTCCTGTCTAAAAAAAATCATTCAAATAAAGCAGAGTTGCAGCTAGGTTTGAAATTTGGGCTTGGCAAATTTTGAAGGCCAACCACAACAAACGAGTCAGTTGTTTAATAAAAAAAAAAAGTCTAGTACTAATTGGTGTGAAGGGCGTAGTGCTTGATCCAGGAAATGTTGAGCCTGGTATCCTCATCCTCCCCTCTGCTCCAGACGCACTGTTCATGAGCCACCGCTATAAATACCGGCACACATTCCCTCCCAATCCATCAGCTTCCTCTTCCTGTTCTCCCATTGTTCTGCAGCTCCAGCCTGCCCCATGCACGGCCTCACGGGGAAATGTTCCTACGCGTTAATAGCACAAGCCGCTCCGCTCTACTGAACGACATTCAGCGTAACTCAGCTCTTCAATTCTGTTTTGATTTGTAACTCAGACACAATATCTCTCTGACTCGGAAGTCTTCCACTGATCCAGCCAGAGACACTTCTCCCAGAAGGCCCTCTTTTGAACGACATTACATTGAGATGTATTTTAATGGTTAATACCAAGTGCAATAAATGAGTTCACTTTATTTTTTAAGAAATTGTAATATCAGTCATTTCTCACAGGCTGTTCTGACTTCTTCCCTAATGTGATAAAGCCCTTGTCTTCTCATCTGCTCCTGCAGCTATAACTATTTCCGTGAGGATGAGGAGATCTATAAGGAGTTCTTTGACATCGCAAATGACGTTATCCCAACGCTGCTAAAGGAGACAGCTGCTGCCGAGAGTACTGGGGAGGATGGAGAAGGAGTGGAGACTGACAAGGTGACTGTCATTATTAATATTATTCCTGTTGTTGTTGTTATTATCATTATTATCTGCTGGAGATATGATCAAAATCAAGTAACCCCTGTCCAGGGTTGGTTGATTTCCTTCACCCTACAGTGAAAACACACTCAATTCTGGGACCAGTTCCCTTTTGAATTTTTATTTATTAAGTTTATTTCTTCCCCATGCCATCAAAAAGTTAGCCTGATGTGGGGTGAGGTATTTCTTTGTTTTTCAGATGTGGGAAAGATGCAATTCAGGTAGAATTACTTGTAATTTACAGCCTGTCTAAAAGGTTTAGTTGAATTTATTAATACAGAGTACATGTTTGTTTGTTTATTTTTTGTCCTAAGTGGGTGGATTTGCTAAAACGAACAGTAGGCACAAGTGTGTAAGTGAAAGTTGTCAATTTGTATACCAAACAATAACTTTATGAAATATGTCATTGTTTGAACCTTCCAGTGCAAAAAATCGTTAAAATAAATTAAATCATTTATCTTTTCAAGCCAAATAGTTCTATTTAAAGGTATATTTCAGGTATCTTTTTTATAACTTCTGAAGATTTAACTGTGAACCCCTTCTTAGACATTTACAGACTTAGTGTTCAGTGGCTTAACAATTTTCAGCATATATACAGCAGTAATTTTGATCCATGTAATAAAGAAACCCATCAGACTAAAGGGGTAATGACATAATATTTAAAACTTTCCTCTCCCAATCTTTCATCGAGGCATTCATTTGGAATATTGTGTCAGTGTTTTCAAACAAAACATATTCTTTACAACACATTGCACTTGTGTCTTTCAGGAGAGCGCAAAGCAGATGACGGCCCTCTCAGCTCTGCAGGACCCAGAGTGCTTTGCCCACCTGCTGCGTTTTTATGACGGCATCTGTAAATGGGAGGAGGGAAGCCCCACACCTGTCCTTCATGTGGGCTGGGCTACATATCTTGTCCAGTCTCTCAGTCGATTTGATTCTCAGGTAAGAAACTCTTGCTGGCTAGTGAACGTCAGCGAATTTAGACGGAGTATTTTCAGGACCGATACAATGCAGCTTCCTCTCGTTGGAGCTTTGTCGCTAAACATGGATTTTTATGTGATTTCAAAGGTGCGTCAGAAGGTGTCGATCATCACCAAAGAGCCGGAGTGCCAGGATGACGACGACCAGTCGAGCGACGACCCCCGGGAGGGTCGCAGACGAGGCCCCAGGCGGGAGTCAAAGCTAGAAGACCAGAGCTCTCCACCTCCTGCTGCTCCCACCTCCCCGTCCGCCCAGTCACCCGCCACAGCTCAGCCCAAGAAGGTCGGCGATGGCTCGGCCCGCCGTCGCTCCTCCCAGGGCCTGCGCGCCAGCGATATCGAAGGAATCCCCAAGTCCCCCAGCCAAGATTCGGTTTCCTCGCCATCATCCCAGCAGCAGGCGTCCCCGTGCCCGGCCGGCCCCGTGGTCACCTTCCAGAGCGAGAAGATGAAAGGGATGAAGGAGCTCCTGTGCGCGGCCAAAGTCAACTCCAGCGCCATCAAGCTCCAGCTCACCGCCCAGTCGCAGGTCCAGATGAAGAGGCAGAAGAGCACGGCGGCGGGGGATTACTCCATGTCCTTCATGAAGCGTCAGCGCAAGTCGCTGTAGAGCCGCCGGCTGCCGTGTGAGGAGACTGTCGGACACACTGTGAAAAATAACAGACCTGCAGCTGACCCCGTTTCTGTGTGTGAAGCTTCTTACTGGTGTTTTCATCCAGAAGTCCTCAGTCTGCATCACCATTGTTCCGAGCAATACATTTGAACTTTCACAGATGATATCAAGTTGAGCTTTGCATCAGGAGTGAACATTTCATATTCGTTTTTAAACTATTTTGGAAAGCTACCTGCTTTGATAGATTGTAAGAATTCACCCAACATAGGTTTGTCTTAATTAGCACTAGTCACTTGCACACTGATGTAACTTCTCATGGTTAACTCACATTTGAAAGGCTAAGTAATAAGATGGGTCAACGTTCAACTCACAGATGTATATGAAATCAACTTGTACCAATACCAACTAGTTCATGACTGAAGCCTTGGAAGTTATCGATTTAGGATAGTTACTGTGTAACATTGTCCACTTTGCTCTATTGACAGCTTCTTTCTTGCTAGCTCTACGTTGCCTTACATTGTTTTTGCTATTTTCTGAAGTAGGTGGCCTTTAGTTTTGAGAATGCCTGAGCAGGGCCCGTGTTTAATAGTTCAAGAAGACCAGACAGACCATGCACTGTTGAGACAGAGTCACAATAGGTGGCCCTGAGACATCCTGTTTGCTTGATGACTTGTTCTCGTCGTTTTTGTATCTGAAAGTAATAAAGATCTGGTAAAAAACTAAATGTGATTAGGTTTGATTTTAGTAGTAGAACACATCGTAAGGTGCTGTACAATATTAAAATGATTGTATGTTCTAGTCATTAACATACAGGTGGTCACAGAGCAGAGAAATATCAGTTTAACTGGAGAAAGATATGTCAGTAAGAATCAATTACATATTGTATGGTTGATATCTCTGATATTTGGCTTCTTAAAGAATTTCCTTCCAAGTACCTGGAAAATAAGTTTTGTACAAGTTTAAATGTTGGGGGGGGGGGGGCAACAGGTACAGTAGAGTAGACCCTTTAAAAAAAAAAATAGCTAAACCTTATGTAACCCACATTGTATTCTAGGATTAATAGAATTTTAAATAATCCGAATTACAATTTGTCCAAATAATTCCTAAAGTCTAATTAGGTTCGTCTACTGGAGGAGGTTGCAAATTGTAAAACACACAGACAGCCAGATGGTGCAAAAATTGGTGAGCTGTATCAATATAAATTTACAATATATACAAATTAGTCCACAATTTAAAGTCAACGAGGTTTCCTTATATCAAGGACGTCAACCAGGCTCTGTTGATGATGGAAGAGAAAAACAAAATAATAATAATAATCCAGTTCCTTCAGTGAACACTTGAGCTGAAACTCCAACCAGTTCGAAAGAGTGTTCGCAGATGATGGCGTTGTATTTCTGGATCCTCTTAGGTTAGCTCGCCAGTCTGGTCAGCATGAAGCCAGACCCTTCAGCCACTCCGAGAGCGAGGGATCTGCAATATACCTGGCCAGTTCCCTCTTGACCAACCGAGCTCTGAAACCTCTTTGGGAACAGCCCAGAAGCCTACCTGCACGTCAGGGTCCGACAGCGTTTCCTCCTAAAGTGCGATTAGCAGCCATATAAACTGTTGCTGTTAATTTAGGACGCGGACGTGTAGCTGTCACATGACGTCATACCCCGCGAGAACAATATTGTTCGCGCCTGGTTGGTGTTAAATAAATTGAAAGGAGGATTTTAATTAAACCTTTAACTAAATAATAAATAAAATTAAATCTACCAAAATAGAAAATAAAATAAATAAACTAAATCTAATATAGAAAAATTATCCGGGTTACACTTACTAATTAGATTTTTGCACATATTCCATTCTATACAGGCTACTAAATGCCATAACAGGGAAGCCAAATAGTTTTTAATGACGAGCACTCCTATGAGACATGTGACATGCTGCAGCCACTTCCATCTATTAAGGCTGCCTTCAACTTTTGCAGCAACGTCCTCCAAGTTCCTCTTGGTTTTTTGTTGGACTCCCTAGAAAAACACCAAAGTACTCTAGACCGTCATGTCTCCACTGCAGTTTTGTTGAAGAACTGGGAGGCCCTCACACCATCTTCCAACAGCAAGCACAGCCCTTTTAACCCCAATTCACCCTTGTGGCAGATAGACTGCCAAACAAACTAATTAGATCCTGTAAAACACCACCGTCTGTCTGATTTTTACTCATTTTGACGTCATCAGCATAAATGGATAAAACAGCCTTCACTCAAAAACCGGGTAAAATCAGGTCGTCAATGCTTTGCGAATGGCAGAAGGGGTTCCAGAGAGAGTGCATAGAGCATCCCGGACCTGGCGCAACCCTGACAGATGCCTCTAAGCACCTTGAAACGAGCACACAAACTGCCATTGACCTTTAGGTGTACAACACCTGGATCTTGGCAACAAGACCAGTGCTGAACCTCAACCTCCTCATGGTTTTCACAAGGATGCAGTGTTTCCCGAGGTCAAAACCTTTTTCCCAATCCAGTGAAATGAGACCAGGTTTGAGATCCCATAAGCTGGAGACCTCCAAAACATTCAGCTTCAGGTGGACATTGTCCACCATGGACCTGCCAGGTACACAATAGGATGACCTGCTCCATAGCGTCCCTCAGTCTGGTGGCTAAAACTATGGACAGAATCTTACTATCTGTGCATAGGAGAGTTCCAGTTCCAGTTGAATGTGTGACAGTTCTTTAAATCCTTCTGATTTCTTGCCTTAGGCAGGAGTGCCACAACAAACAGGATAGATTCAGAGAACCTGAGACCAGAACTTCATAAAAACATTTTAAGTACCAGGGACTAAAATATACTAGAATGCCTTATAGAACTGGACCAGGAGGCCACCGATACCAGCAGGCAAACGCCCCTGCAAACTCTGCAGGGGTCAGTGGAGACCAACCTCTGAAGAGGGTCACCACAGAACTCCTTAAAAGGTTCATCATCCTCTTCACCTTTACTATAGGGTTGTATGAAAATCCATAGTACGCCTTCTGATATGGTCGGGTTCAATGTGTCAGAGAGCAGAAAATGTGTCCAGCCTTCTTCTCCAGGTCAAATAATAAGCTGGAGGGGGCATCCATCTCCAGGATGGTCTGTATTTGGGACTAAATCGCTCAGCGCCTTGGTATGAGATCTCCAGGGGAAACAAATGTTCAAGCTGAATTAAAATGCCAGTACGCACTCCTGGATTAAATGTTCTTAACAAAAAAATTACATAAAACCAAGGCATGACCATGTAGACTTGTCTGGACTCTGAGTGCATCCTCCTCCACAGATCATCCAGTCGATGAGAACAGGCTAGCTTTAATGTCCCCGCCCTAAAAGAACTTCTAAAATGACTTACTCTACAGAGGGAAGTGGTCAAAGCAAAAGTGGCAAAATGAGTAAAAATATCAAAAACCTTTTTTTTTTTTTTTTTACATATATTGAAACTGTAGTTTTTTTTACACATTAACCAACTGTTTTTGTGAGTCTCAGTATTTCCTGAGTGGTGACACCTGTTGTTTCTTTGTTTTTAAAAAAAAAAAATTCTGGTCGAAAGATAAAAATAAAAAGAACATCAGGAAAATGGGTTAGGCAGGTTGCCGGGCGCTGATTGGCTGATTGGCCGGTGAGTCACATGATTAAACAGGTCCGGAAATAATAATAAACTTAAAATAAATAAATAAACTCACCATTCACCACACAAAACGCTGAGACCTGACCTATCTAATGACAGTCTAGACACAGAAAAGACAAGGATAGAAAAAATAAAAAATAAAAACACCTTCATTATCAACCTTTCTCTGAGCTCTTCTTCTTCTATACCTCTAACAGAAGAAGTAGAAGGAGAAGAAGAAGAAGAAGAGCTATGATTAATAGGTGAATATAGATTTTGCGTTAATCAAATAGCTGCTTTTAAATGCTCCCTGAAAGTGGCCTGCTGTAAACTGGATACCTCAGTTCCTCCAGTACTACTGACAAATGTTCGTATCCAACATAAAAAATAACTTTACGGACGTGTATGAGCGTTTAATTGACGGGGCGGACACTTTCTTTAAGCCACTTTTTTTTTCCTTTTCTTTTTTTTTTTTTCACTGCGACGACTGTCACTGACTGCTCATGCGTGTTTTGACCTCAGCTCCTCTCAGGATGAGCTGCCCTCAGACACGGACTGCGTCAGCCATCGATAGCCCGGCCGCGCGAGTCAATTAGGGGCGCGCGGCGTTTTTCTTCCTCGCCGGTCGATGCTCCAGCAATTAGCCGGCCCCCGCCCGTTCCCCCCATTGAGCGGGCCGCTCTGCTTCCGCGGCGTCGCCGTTTCCTCGCGGCGGTGATGCGCAGAGAGCCCGCCGAGCTCCCCCACGGCTCTCGCAGTTCCCCGCAAGTATGGACAGGATAGGAGTCTCATTCCTGGACCCTCTGGACGACTACGAGTTAATTCACCGCATCGGTTGCGGTACCTACGGAGACGTGTTCAAGGTAAGCGGAGCCGTTACTCACAGAGGAGGACGTCTGGTTGTTGAGGGAAATATATTTCCACATCCTGTAGGTACGTTTTACAGTCTATCATAAGGGAGAATTCTTCTACGTGAACAATTGTTGCAGCGCTAAATTATATAGAGAGTATTTGCGTCTCCTCCAGCTGTGATTCCAGATGTTCCGCAGGACATGTTCCATCATGTTTTTACCAGTGTGTGTTTTGTTTTGAGGGCTCAGGGATGCCAGTTTCAGGCTGTGTTTAGTTACATAAGTACCACGTCTCGTTTTAGAGTCCAACACCTGACAATTTAGTATATTTTGCTTTAAAAAAAAAGAAGACATCAAATCATGTCACTTGACTTGAGTAGGAACTTGTTGCTTATCTTTTCGTATAAACCTCAGGATACAAACATCCTGTTCTGTTAGCACGTCCTGGTGCCCCGTGCATCCTGCAGGACCTATTCAAGAATTTGTATTGTTTCTTCTTTCTTTTTTTAACACCATGGTCAGGATGAGGGGTTTAGTCATGCTGCCCCAATTTGATTTTTACCATGCAAGTACAATACCGTCAATAAAGAAAAAATAAACTATGTACTCATAAAACTAAGTGAAAATTAAGCCAATGATTGATGGAAATGATTAAAAACTACAAATGTTTGTTCAAAAAAATCAACACCACTCATGCATTTACAAGGACTTTGTTTTCAAAAATCACAAAGTTGTTTCAAATCATAAAGTGGAAATCTTAGCCAGATAATCAGACAACATTGCCTCAAAAAGTTCACCTGGACATGCTTCTAGGATTGTAAAAAAGGTAAATAAGTAGTTATTTTTCATTAGGCCCATGAATATGGAACTATTCCTGAGCCATCACATTAATCTGAAACAAATATTTCAATTGAAAAATGGAAGTTCAAACTGAAAGTCCAGTTTTGAAGTTCAACTTGAAAATATAAAAAAAATATAGAATTTTTTTAGTGTTTGGATGCTTGTTTTCCTGGGAAAGAGTTTTTGTTACAGCCACAGTAGAGACTTGCTTAAACATATGAGACAACACTTCAAATATCCAGATGGGTCTTTGTCTTGATGGATGCTTTTAACTGAAACGGAGCTACAACGAAGGCCATTTCACAAGAATATATATCAATATAGTAACGTATGTTTAGAGACTGTCCTGGTACTGTCCTGGTAGGATGACCAGGGAGACACATTTTTGAATTGGACCACTGTGTGCGGTTCCCTGCATGTGAGGGAAAAGCCGTTGATGATGTCATTCTTACACTGTATTTGACTTGATTGTGTGGCCTCTTGAGTAAGCATCTTTTTTTCTTTTTTTACAATACATTGCATAATTGTTCTTTTGATTTTATTGAATTTCTGACATTTACTTCCAACTTGTTTTTTTTTTAAATTGCACATTAAACTAGCCGGGCACTGGCATTAAATAGAGCGAGGACACGCATTTTACAGATTTTTGAAAAAAGAAGTCTAAAAAGGCTCAGTGGATGGTTCCAAACAGCTGTACAGCATAGTTTCCACTACGGCTGCGCTACATGTTACATGCGCAGGAGGAAATGGAGCATTTGTTGTGCATTTGTAGTAGCAGACTTTCCCATCGGTGTGTAAAAGGAAGCAGAACATTCAGTTTGTATTCAGTGGTTTGTTGGCGTCAGTCGTCCCAACCTGTTCAGTCGGTTCACTGTGCAGAACACTACTAAAACTGCTTGTATTTGTTGTTAGATTTTGAAGAAAGCTTGACAGGTTGTTACAAATTGACATACTTGTGTATGTGGGCAAATTGTGGGCAATTTTAAAACTATAGCTTTGAAAAAAACGTTGTTTTTCTTTCCAAAAAGGCTCTCTGCTAAATGTACTTGTGATAGGCTCCAGCCCTCCCATACATTGTTTTATTCATAGGTTTATTCACCGACAACAACAGGTACATCTGACAGTATACCCAAAATAATGTGTACATGTAGATGTAAAAGACAGCTAAATATTTTTAAAAAGTACAGTAAATTGAATTAATTTCTGAGGAAGTTTACCTCTGTAAAAGTTGGGAGCAAGATGCATATCGGTAGACAAGTTGTGAGCAGACCAGCAGAATAGCTTTATTAAATGAAAATGTGTGTGATCAAAAGAAATATTTCACTTAAGGTTAGTTTACCAAATTAAGTAATTGTCATAGTTTATTATCACCTCCTACTTCTGCAGTTGGTGGTTTTTTCAGATACAACCGCAGAAGTCCAGGGTGAAACCACTGGACATGTGACTGCGTGGGCATTCAATGGACTTCTATTATCCTGCTCTCATTCAAAGAAAAATCTGTTCTGAGCTCATCTTTCATCTTGAAAAAAGACGTGTGGCTCACCAACCACAGTACAGATGGATTATTGGGCTATGTTCAAAATTCTACTGATCTATTAATTTAAACTCTGTCTTTGGTTTTTAATTTTCTGATTGTTGCAGTTTTTTGTCCCCATTAACAAAAGTAATTTAAAGTCACATTAAGAGGGGGGAAAAAATCCAAAATGTTTTTATATGTAATTTACAGACTTGCATAAAGCCCAAAAAGATTTTTCCTATGGGGCGAATGCAAAAGTGAAATATAGAGGAAATCCCCATAAATTGACATTTATTTCTGGATTGGGTCAAGCTTCCGAATTTCTTGATCCCACAACCATTCAACACAACTTGAAGACAGACATGTGACAGATGCCAGAATTGACATAGCTCATTCAGAGTCACAGACTACACAGATCTGATTTAGGTCTAATATATAAAAAAGGGAGTTTTCAAAACTGTAAATCAGTTTGGATAACAGCATCAGAGCATATATGTGTTTTATCTTTGTTGTGGTCATGTGGTCGTATTGTTTAAGGTGATTAACTGCTGGCTACATTGAGTCAGACATTTGGCATGATGCCTATACAGAAATAATGAGTTGTCAGACTATTTTACCTGATTTGTGTTGTTTTGGACAGAAATACGACAGATTGCCGTGAATCAGACTTGCCCTTTAAAGTATGTAACATTTGTTGAATCAAGAACAGTGAAGGATCCTCACTGAAGAGTTGGTTACTACGACCAGATAACAATCTCCCATCCAACTTAACCTTTTCCTTTAAAATGCCATCTTTAAAATGGAATATTGTTTTCATTCTGAGGCAATCATAGTGGTGCAAAATGGCCGACCATGAGGGGTAGGATCTGTGCCATATCTGGAAATCCATGGATTTTAAGGTAATAAAAAAAAAAACATGAAATATTGAAATAGATATGTTTAAAAAGATTATCATACATTTCTACCTTCATTCCTTGAATTACCTTAAATTCATGACACATTTCAGATTTTACTTTTAAATTGAGATTTGGCAATGTGGGTTTAAATCTCTGCGATAGTTCAACAGTTTTGTAGAATGTAGAACGTGTTGTTTTGGGGATAATTAACAGTAAAATTACATTTACTCTATCTTAAGATTGATTAGTAAAACATCCATCTATTATTGTTTGGAGAACTAGAGTGGTCAATTGACAAGAGGCAGGGTACATTCTGGACAGTCCATCGCAGTCCACACACAAGGACAAACAACCACACACACTCAAATTCACTCCTAAGGGAAGTTTGGAATGTCAAATCAACCTAACATGCAGGTTTTTGGACTGTTGGAGGAAGCAGACACAGTGAGAACATGCAAACTCCACACAGTAGGGTCCGGGTTCTTCGGGACTCGAACCCAGAACCTTCTTGCTGTGAGGCGGCGGTGCTAACCACCACACCACCGTGCCACACCATCAGTAAAACACTGATTCTTAAGACATATTGCATGAAATGAGGGAAGATTACTACCAACCCTGAAAATGATTGGACCCCACCTGTTTCCCAGTGACAGCTGGGATATATTCCACGACTCTACTAGGAATAAGTGGCAGAAAATGCATTGATGGATGCTTCTAGAAATAGCCAGGGATGGAAAATTGAATGGTAAAACACTCCCAAAATGTTAAGATAAACCAGTATTGGTTAAGGGACGTGACTTAGGGTTAGGGATGGATTCCTAAGATTTGCTGATGGGCTCCAGCTTCTCCAATATTAACTTTCAGTGAAATTATTTGGAGTCTCGTGTCTGTTTAATAACGACTTGAATAAAGATGAAAGTGACCTGAACATAACAAACATTGCTGTTTTTCTAACTATTATTACCATTTATTACTATCATTACCATTCTAATGAACTCAAGTACATCATGTACACTTTTATAAACGCAATAGGGGACTACATTTGGCCCTTGGACCAACAAAGGCTTTGGAACTACTACTTTCTTTTGACTACTTTCTCAATTTCTCCATTTCTTAAATCATACCTCCAGTCTTCTCTTGCCTACTGCTTGAATTTCCTCTTAACCCACCTACCTTTCTTCTCTCTTCTCTTGGCGAGTGCAGAGGTGCTTCTATCTGCTCACTTCCCTGCCTTCTTTACCTGCCTGCTATCTTTATCCTGTCTCATCTTGGAGCCTCTCTCTGCATATTTACTTCCAAAATCCTAAATGTCAACCATGGATTTGGTCTGCTGGTCTTTCAAGATATTTTCTACTTAAAGACAAAGTACAGGGGCTGGATCTTGTCGGGCTGTAACTCACCCTGCGGGTTATACAACGAATGCCTGGAATAAATGGAGAGTTTTATGCCTTTCTGTTCTTTCTGTGGAGCACATTGAAGACCCATACACATTTGGATCCATGATAACTAAGCCTGTATGATAGCATTAAGGATATGGGCACCACCTTGGAGATTGAGGGTAACTAACACGATTCGTCTGAATTGGAATCCCAATTCTGAGACCTGCTGAGGAATTAAGGCAGACAAAACATGTCCTGCCTGGAACAAAGCAGTATCTCTTATCTAAATCTGGCTCCCTGAGAGCAGCTTTGGGATGCTTCTCAACAACTTTTGCCCTGGTTGGAACTACAGATGCTCTTTCCCCTGTTTAGGGGGCGTGGCAGCGGGCCTTTTTTAAACCTTTCTCCCCCCTCCTTTCCCAATGTTATCTTTTCATCATGAATCTGCAAAGTAGTGCGTCGTAAGGGGCCGCTTTTACAACACATCTCTTTCCTACCCCATGCATTGTAAGGCCTCTAACTGAGGTTACTTTCTGCCAGCCCCTCTTCTCGCTGACCCTAGGGGTATTCTCCTCAGATTAGGAGTAGCCTATGCTGGTTTTAACGAAGCTGCTAGTCCTCGGTACTGTTCCTATGGGTTCCTAATTCATGGCAGCACCTTTGGGTTTTTGCCTCCTTTCAGCTCGCTTTCCAAACTGTCACATGGTCTTTGCTTTGTTGTCAGCTGCCCTGTTCACATCAGTCACTAGCTAGGCTAGATTTGCATTCGAGGTAAACACAACAAACTTTTGCTTAAAAGAAATGGTCCAGACCTAGCGAATTATTTAATTTTAACAATTACACTATGATCCCTGTTTTAAACCAGTAATCAGTGTTGTAAACTGTTAAACTGTATTATAATTTCTCTGTTAAGAAAACAATGAGAGTCAAGAGACATATTTCCACAAACAAAAAAATACATAAAATCTTGTACACTAGATTACTTGGCCAGCATAGTTTCTATGAATGTAAACTATTTGGCTCTGAGCATAGAACCTGGAGCTTATAAACAGGAGCCACGAGATCAGTAGAGACAGAAAAGATTGCAGCAATCAGAACCCAGCACCACATAATCAATGAATCACTAGAGACAAAGAAAACAAACCTCATAATTATAAAACACAGTCCTATCAGCATCTCCTGATCCTCTATTTTCAGTATACTGATGCAATATTTTCCCCTTTAAACAAGAAAATAGTATGTTCTGTAAGTTTATCTGTTCCAATGTAATATATGTTTACTGAAATGAACTTTGTTCAATTGTATTTGCATTGAGAAGTCGTGATGAGCCTCAGAGACACACCAGTCAACTTTCTGAAATGATCTTCTAGTAGGACTGTTTTCGGATTGTTTTCGGTTTTCAGTTCCCTGAAAGAAACTGTTCCAGGAGATTGTGACTCATTTTGTGATGGGGTCTTTACTCATAGTGCTAATAGTACCATAAACATCCCAGCTGAACAGAGATTAATCTTAATCCATCCATTATCAATACCGCTTATTCCCTCATGGGGTCGCGGGGGGAACTGGAGCCTATCCCAGTGGTCAACGGGCGAGAGGCAGGGTACACCCTGGACAGTCCGCCAGTCCATCGCAGGGCCACACAGAGACACACAAGGACCAACAACCACTCACACTCACATTCACTCCTAAGGGCAATTTCCCCAATTTCCAATCAGCCTAACATGCAGGTTTTTGGACTGTGGGAGGAAGCCGGAGAACCCGGAGAGAACCCACGCAGACACAGGGAGAACATGCAAACTCCACCCAGAAAGGTCCTGGTTCCCCCGGGATTTGAACCCAGAACCCTCTTGCTGGGAGGCGACAGTGCTAACCACCACACCACCGTGCCGCCAGATTAATCTTAATGATATATTTAAATAAAAATGCCAGCTGAAAACACCTTGTTAAATTGTACAATGTGTTTTCAACTTCTGAAACAAGTACATTAATCATCCAGATTTTACAAAGGGGTAAAATCATCTATACATCAGTCTTGATAATTTATTACTAACATATTATTTGCATAAGCTTTATTTACAGTTACTGTAATTTGTAGCAATCTTACATCTTTGCTGTTGGATTTAAATAATGTCATACTGCTTGGTATAGGATTGATTTGGTTGGTCCAGATGTCAGAAATGGTGTAGTATTTTCACTTCACAAAATGACTAGACAAAATAGAGCCGGGGTCTGAACTAACCATCAAACTATTATAACAATTAGGTCAGAATGGAACAATGGGTCAGATTTAAAAGCTTCACTATATGGTGATTGCCAAAGTCCACCCATCCATTGTCCACACCACTTATTCCTAGTAGGGTCGCGAGGGGCTAGGGCATGTCTCAGCTGACACGGGGAAATTATACAGGTTGCCAGTCCATCACAGGGACACACAGAGACAAACAACCACACACACTAACATGAACTCCCTGGTGGAATTTAGATGATTCAATTAACATACACTATATTGCCAAAAGTATTTGCTCACCTGCCTTGACTCACATATGAGCTTAAGTGACATCCCGTTCCTAATCCATAGGGTTCAATATGACGTCGGTCCACCCTTTGCAGCTAGAACAGCTTCAACTCTTCTGGGAAGGCTGTCCACAAGGTTTAGGAGTGTGTTTATGGGAATTTTTGACCATTCTTCCAGAAGCGCATTTGTGAGGTCGCACACTGATGTTGGACGAGAAGGCCTGGCTCTCAGTCTCCGCTCTAATTCATCCCAAAGGTGTTCTATCGGGTTGAGGTCAGGACTCTGTGCAGGCCAGTCAAGTTCATCCACACCAGACTCTGTCATCCATGTCTTTATGGACCTTGCTTTGTGCACTGGTGCACAGTCATGTTGGAAGAGGAAGGGGCCAGCTCCAAACTGTTCCCACAAAGTTGGGAGCATGGAATTGTCCAAAATGTCTTGGTATGCTGAAGCATTCAGAGTTCCTTTCACTGGAACTAAGGGGCCAAGCCCAGCTCCTGAAAAACAACCCCACACCATAATCCCCCCTCCACCAAACTTTACACTTGGCACAATGCAGTCAGACAAGTACCGTTCTCCTGGCAACCGCCAAACCCAGACCCGTCCATCAGATTGCCAGATGGAGAAGCGCGATTCGTCACTCCAGAGAACGCGTCTCCACTGCTCTAGAGTCCAGTGGCGGCGTGCTTTACACCACCGCATCCGACGCTTTGCATTGCACTTGGTGATGTATGGCTTGGATGCAGCTGCTCGACCATGGAAACCCATTCCATGAAGCTCTCTGCGCACTGTTCTTGAGCTAATCTGAAGGCCACATGAAGTTTGGAGGTCTGTAGTGATTGACTCTGCAGAAAGTTGGCGACCTCTTCGCACTATGCGCGTCAGCATCCGCTGACCCCGCTCCGTCAGTTTACGTGGCCTACCACTTCGTGGCTGAGTTGCTGTCGTTCCCAAACACTTCCATTTTCTTATAATACAGCTGACAGTTGACTGTGGAATATTTAGGAGCGAGGAAATTTCACGACTGGATTTGTTGCACAGGTGGCATCCTATCACAGTTCCACGCTGGAATTCACTGAGCTCCTGAGAGCGACCCATTCTTTCACAAATGTTTGTAAAAACAGTCTGCATGCCTAGGTGCTTGAATTTATACACCTGTGGCCATGGAAGTGATTGGAACACCTGATTCCGATAATTTGGATGGGTGAGCAAATACTTTTGGCAATATAGTGTACATATTTTTGGAAGATGGGAGGAAGAGAATCGCTAGACAACCCACACATACAGATGGAGCGCATACAAACCCAACTCAGAGGGACCCCTGGTCCACACCGGGAGCACTCTTGCTACACCACCCCCTTGTGTAGCCCTTTAAATAACATGTAACATGGGAAAAAATACAAAGAAATTGATTTTTAGATGTCGATCTCCTAAAATTATTTAGTTTTTAAATACTTCCTCAGTTGATTGGCTAAAGTTGAATCAGTACCACATTATTGTTTGTTGTCTTATAACTTCTGGCTCGTTCTTCTTTCCTACATTTTTCAGTTCAAGTTTGTCAGGAATCCTGGAATTGAACCTGTAGTTGAATTTATGCCCATAATTTAAAAAACAAAACAAGTTTCAGCTTTGAAAAATCGGGAAAAAGGTCAAGTAATGACAGGATCGTCTTATTTTCTGCTTTTCTTTTCCCATTTTATCTGTCGGAATTTTTAATCCTAGTTTTAATGTAACAGAATATAATCCCCAAGACCAAAGTATTTTACGGCACATTTCCACTCGTGTGCCAATACCGAACTTGGTTGAAAATAACAAGTACAAGTCCTCTTTTTGCCATTTTTTTGCTATTGTCGGCCTAAATATAAAGAATTATACTTGAAAGAAGCTTTTAATTTATGGCTCTTTAGGCTGGTTAATGGGCTTGTTGGGTGTCTTGAAGATGCAGCTAAATTTCTGCAGCCTCCTCTATTTTCTTTGCCAAACCTAATGATAAATAGCATTATTTCAGGCCTTTCAGTAAAACCCCTCTCAGAGACATTACAATAGCTGTAGTCACAGGAAGTGAAATGCAACAGGAAAGAAAACAGGAAGCGAATACAGGCGAAAAAGAGGTTGTTTTTTTATGAGTGTCTGAAGTGTAAAAAAAATCACAGATGTCAGTGCAGATTACTAATTTTTTTTTTTCGGACTAACTTATTCCCTGGCGTCCCTGTGCCACCTGTTGAAGTGTCCTCGGGTTGGACCCAAAGTCACAGGATGTGCCATGTGTTTTTTTTATACACCGTCGCTGAAAATTTGGGGATTAAGAATGGAAATCATCTAAAATTCATGTGTAATATAAGTGATGATTACTTTTTATGTAAAAGTTAAGGGTTATGGTTGAATTTGAATTTTTTAACTTCAATCCAGCCATCCAGAAATCCAGATATCTAGTAACCTGTTAGCTATGTGGTTGGATATTTTGGTTTCCCTTCTCAAAATGAGCTAATAGACAGCCAGTGCAGGTCAAACTGACTTTAGGGCCTGTGTCATAGACAACCGAGCCATTACAGTGGAGTGGAGTGTTGAATTTGGAATACCACTATGATTTTTGCTCTGTTTGATCAAGGTTCAAAAGAGTTTTTTTTATTAAAGTTGTCATGCTAGCCTCTCAAAGCATTTGTACATTATCCCGAGGCAGACACTTCATACATATGTCTAATAGGAGAGTGGTAGAAAGTGGTCCCAAATGACATGTAATAGGGTGATTACAGAGGATGGGCTATAATATAGCGCTATCTTAAGAAAACAAACGATATGTTGGAGGATTGCTGTGTCAGTCAGGTTGAGTAAAGACAGTTGGACTTTAATAAATTTCCCTTCTCATCTGAAAGGGTTCTTCAGTTCTGCATGTTCTCCAAGAAGAATTCCAGTTGTCTTTACTCAGGCTTTTAGGATTACCATTACCTGAATTGATGAGAATCTTAACCAACACATTGTTACATCTGGGTTTCTGATTTGAATAGATTGGGTAAAAAAGACAGAAATAAAAAGAGGAACTTCACAACTTTTTAACGCTGTTTGTCTAAACGTGCCTTAAATATGAAGGACTGATCCACCAATCAGAAAGCACTGTAACTATCGGTGGGCAGACAAAACTAATCATCAGCTTTTCATCTTTGTTTTGACTTAACTCCAACAGGGCTTTCTTGGTAATTGTTTATGTATTTAAACTTAGTTTAAACTGGAAATAAGAACTCTTGAGATTCAAAATCTCTTTTCAAATAGTGTCCTGACTAAGACAGGCTCTGGTGAGCATCAATAAATGTACATTCAGCACAAAATAATATTTACATATCTAATGTATGTCATACATGGAAACTATATATAACATTTAATTCTAAAGGTTAATCTGCAAGTATTTTTGTGCACATTGGAATTTTTATTATTATGTTTACGTTGTTAGATCAGTTGAAGTTTGAGGAAGTGGTCAAGTGTAGAAAAAATAAAATAAAATACATAGTGAGTGTATGAATAGGTTCACTCTAGGTACTCTACTTTCATCCCACTGTCCAAAAATGTGCATGTTATCTTAATTGAGGACTTTAAATGTTTTTGGACGGGTAACCTGTCCAGGGTGTACCCTGAAAGGTTTCCATTTTGGATCCAGGAACCTCTCACCCAATGTCAGCCGGGACTGGCTCCAGCCGCCCTGCAACCCAAACAAAAATAATAAAAATAGGAAATATAAATAAGTTGTATAGACTATTGTTGAATGGACTTTCACCATATAATAAACTTCTGAAATGAATTTGATATGAAACTCAATATTCAAACGCTGCCTTTATTGTTACCATATTTTGAAAGTTCAAGTCCCAGCTCTATTTCTTCATGCCATTTTGGACAAGTGGCAATACTTCTTACTACTGCTTAAATCATACCTTTTGTGTCATCGTTTTGCCCCGCAGGTGCTTATCATTCTTGTGGTTTAACTTTCTATTCATAGTCCAAGATCATTTCCGAGCATTTAATGATTACTGTTTGATGTCTGGGGGTAAGATCTCACAAAAAATATTCCTCTATACAAAGCATATGAATAAATTAAATAACTTTTATTTATACAGATCCAATCCAATCAGTTATTAGATATCTCTCTGTGTTAGTTACCTAATAACTAAGAGTAAATCCAATCAAAACTAGAAGAAATGCCAGCAGCGTTTTTGATGACATGAACTATGTGTTTTGATGACTTTTGTTCTCATTCAGTTGACTCTTTGTGTTGCGACTGATTTCCTTGCAGTTTTGTAACCATTTCCCTGTTGGATTTCAAGACGATTACAGCTGGAATCTCAAAGTATTCCAGTATCTGTGTACGCAGCATCGTGTCTTCTGCTTTCTCGTTGTCAATCCAGGTTCTTTGGTATTCATGGGGTACAGTTAGTTATTTTTAGTTAGTTAGAGGATTTCTTTATATGTATGTACAGTATGTATATGTATTGGAAGCCCTCTGGGAACACAAAAAAATTAAAGAGCAGGTTATTCCCTGTAATTCTTGATTTAAAAAAATATTTGTTATCTCTTTCAGGCTCGCAACATCAGGACCTCAGAACTAACGGCTATTAAGATTGTCAAGCTCGACCCTGGTTAGTATTTCAGCCCACACTTGACACAACATTTCACCTTTGTACTTGTTCATATCATTTATCCTGGGAAAGGCTCCAACTCTAAATGCAGCAAATGGATGAACGGCTGGACTTCCAAATCAATTCTACCAGTCTGAGCGTTATGTGTTGCCCCTCCCCACAATTTCAGTTGGGCTGGCTGTAGCTCAGGAGAAAAAGTGCTGGTTTAAATCTCAAGTGGGGATTTTCCATTAGTACCGACTCAGCATGTCTCGGCATGTATGTACATGTTTTTGTTTTTTTTATATATCATTAGGGGCTGGTACCTCATAACCGTCACATTTTTAGCATCTATTCAGCCGGGGCTCCAAGCGGGCTGAGTTGGTCTAATGGCAGACTGCTGGGTGCTGATTGGCCAGGGAGTGGCATGATTTGGTAGCGACTCCGTCAGGTGAACCGTGCCCATTTTAAAAATGGGCAACAACAAGAGTCCGATTTCATTCTATCATTATTAAACAGGAAAAACTTGCCTTTCCTTACCTTGCCATTGTTGCCTCATGCTTCTGTATCATGGACCGGTCAGCCAATCCTTCTGCTCGGGCAAGATACTGAACTCCAAATAACCTAACAATGTATCCTTGACTAAGTAGATGAATGCAGCATACAGCAAAATGGCTAGATTAGAAAAACTCTATAAGTACAGTCCATTTACCATTTCTAGTCTTATCATCTCAAGATTTGGCATAAACATGCCTAAGTTCCTAAAAAAGTTATTTCTGATGACAGCAGTTTGGATCTAAATTAACTCTTACTAACGCTTTTATATAAATATTTATTCTTTTTTTTTTAATAAGACTCATAAAGCGACACTTTCATTCAACCTTTGAGTTTTGACAATTCAGAAAATTAACCATCGTACTTATCCAGATCCACACTGGTCAGTTCTTTACCAGCATTTGCTGATTCATGTGAAGCTTTTTTCATACAAAATACCACAATAACCACTTCACTGTGGATCATACTTAGCTTTTGAAAGAATTCTTGCTGATGGATGAAATCACCAGTTCTGCTACTAATCTAACCCTATGATTTCCTGGTCTGTAATTTTCTTTCTTTCTTTTTTTTTAACTCAGCTTTGTGTTTTGGGTATGGCTGATCCAAGAATTATTTTTATTTTTTTTGTTGATTGAATCTTATTTTGGACCTTTAATAAAATATAAACAAAATAAGCAGAAGTAATTTTTGAAAAGGTAATTTTACCATTTAATTAGGCAAATGGTTTCAGATGCAAAACATTCCAGAAACTGTATATATCAAATATGCATATGATATCATAAGACTAAAAGTTTACACTCACTAATCTGTCTGTCTACACAGGTGATGACATCACATCCATCCAACAGGAAATTACCATGATGAAGGAGTGCAAACACAAAAACATAGTGGCCTATTTCGGCAGCTACCACAGGTGCTTTGTGTCTTCAGCCTTACTTGGGATGTGTGAGATTCCTGTGATAGTTGGTGGGCTGAAATGTGGAGAATGTGACGTTTGTCTTCCCCACACTGTTGCTGGATTCCTCTCCCACTCCCTCAAGTGTTTAGTTAGACTGTCAGCCCAGCAGCCTATGCTACTGTACATACTAAAGGGTGTAAATATATATAGTGTTTTACTTTGACAGATGTTGATTTGAAGAAAAAAGGCTGAGCACATGTCAGACAGCTGTATGAAAGCTTTGTGTCTCTCTACAGGAACACAAAGCTCTGGATCTGCATGGAGTACTGTGGTGGAGGCTCACTTCAGGATATTTATCAGGGTACTAACCTTTCAATTCTTTTGGGTTATAACTATATCAGATAAGTAAATTACCTTCAGATTCTGTCTCAAGCCCCGAATGAGTGATTTCCATAAAGGTATAGCATTTAATGAGAAAAACAAATAGCACAGATGTCTGTTGATTTATCCAAAACGTTACCCATGATGTTTTTTCCTTCGTCATGTGGGTATCTGACAAAGAGTGAGTGGAAAGCTTGTATACAGGGAGAGTGGCTAATGACTGACGGCAGCTAAGGGCAGAGAGCACAAGTGAGAACGGTTGACCCAGTTATCTGAACAAGAGGGAACAATGGAAAAGAACCAGAAAAAAAAACAGAAAATTAGAAGCAGTAACCAAGAATGACACTAGAAAACACAGAAAACTATCACAAAAACCTGCACATTTCAATACCAAAATACAAACCAAGAACAAAGTCCAAAGAGCTCAAAATCCTGAACCCTCAACATTCTTAACAATCGATTTCATAAAATTTGAGAAAACTATATGATTAAATCAATGCAAAGTATTCCATTTGTAAATATTTGCAGAAAAATGGTCAAGGACTATGTTAATTAGCTAAACTGACTGAATAAATCACATGCAGAAATACAATGTGATATTTGTAAGTATTTATGTGTGCATTGTTACTTATGAGTATAAGAGTTTGTTTTGTTTTACTACATCTATTGAGTTCTAAGCCACTTGTGGTTCTCTATGACGAATATTCTCCCTCCATTACACTTCTGTTAAATAAAGAAGTTATTAATTTAAATCTTTCTTTGCAGTGACTGGGCCATTAAAAGAGAAACAAATAGCCTTTGTGTGCCGGGAGACCCTTCAGGTAAGACTTTTTAACTTAAAGGCAGAATTTTACATCAACACACGTGAAAATCCCATAGAGTTTACACAGTGAGTTTGTTTAGATGACTATTTTCTTCATAGTATTCCTACTGCAGAGTGGATAAGAGTATTTGTCCTCACCAGACCACTAAATATTCTTCAAAGATAAGTGGTGCTGCAGCACAGTCTACATCAGATAATGCAGGCAATGTTAATTGTGTTAGCCACTGAATCCCTGCAGGCTGCAGGGTAATCAGCTTTGCAGACAACAAAAACATCCCAGTAGTTGAACCTCTTAAAGTTATGTCTTGTAATATTTCAGCCAATAGATATTTTAGAAACTTTTGGAGTGTCATCAAAGCAATTAGGTAGCAGTACACTGTAACAAGGAAAAAAAGGTAAATAAAAAAATAATGAAATTACTGCACTCCGAGCAGAAAAACATCAACTCAAGTTCAAATGAAAGGTAATAACTATATGTAGTCTATTTTAATCTCTTTTTTTTCTTGAAGATATATTGACACATTGATCAAAACGTATTAAATATGCTGTTGAAAAGATATTTTGTACATCAGTGTTATTCTTACAGTACATATGCTATCCTAAATACGTCTGCCCAGGTTAAGGGGTTATCTGATTTTTAGATGAAAGGTGAATTTTCATTCTGATGAAATACAATATTACTATTGCAAGAACAAGTGTTTAGTTGATTATCATCAAATACTTTGTTGCTGTGAGCCATCATAGTGATATTAAGTCGATTGGAAATATGTCTCTGTGCTCAATATTTGAAAAAGTTGTATTAAAGGAGAGTTCATTTTTTGAGATCCTCCAACAATGTATGAGAATATACTTTTAAACTGTTGAATGTTTGGAAGGCTAATCGTGTATTCATTTTTTTCAGGGTTTGTATCACTTGCATGAAACTGGAAAAATGCACAGAGACATTAAGGTAAATCCTTTTAAAAAGATTTGAATCTGTTGCTGTCATAGTAATACACGACGATGGGTTGCCCTGTAAACACAAGCTTAGATGTGTATGTTTGCATTCTCTAGGGAGCCAACATCCTTTTGACTGAGAGAGGAGATGTGAAACTGGGTTAGTGGCGACCTGTATCAAACAGACACACACACTCACATCTGAAACATCTATTTAAACACCTGCAACGCTCAAGGTGATCAAGTTGGCTTCAATAGGCCTGCCATGTTGATTTTCAGCCTCCAGTGTAACTGTGTGTGTCCCCTCTGTGCCTAGCTGACTTCGGAGTGGCAGCAGAGATCAGCGCCTCGGTGGCCAAAAGAAAGTCCTTCATCGGAACTCCCTATTGGTGAGATGGATAAAGTGTCACTCACCTACTTTCCTCTAAATACACAGTCAGATTTAGTAAATCAGGTCATTTAACTTGCAGCCAAAAATCATTACAGGCCCAAACTGAGTGATCTGTTCTGCAGATAGCATCTGGAAATATTCCATTTATCTACAAACACAGCCAAAGTCAGCTCATTTCAGTAATGACCAAGGCAATCTACCAAGAATGGTGAAAACCAGAATACAGTCAGATTTAGCTGATTTGCAATCAAAAGATTTTGATTTAAAATCAACAAAGGTACAACTTTTTCCTTGGGGCTTTAACACAAGCCATAAAAGCCTAAATTGATTAAATTATTCTAATTATCTCTGGTTAGAGTGTTTTACTGAGTCTGCTTGGATAAATAAAATCCTACTTCACTGACTTCAAAATTAAATAGCTTTTATAGTTTCAATTAATTTTTTAAAATGTATTTAGGTTATATGGATAAAAAAAAAAAACGAGTAAAAACATTTTGGACTCACCTAACAGCCAAATATTTATTCAAACCGCAAAAGTTTTGTATATATTACATGACTCCCTCTAGTTAGAAATACCAGGCTTTCTGATATTTCTTCATATGTAACATAGTTTTTTGACTTTCAAAACATATTTTATATGAGTGGGAGCAATAATCTCCCTTTTAGCACACTCTTTTTTCACATCAAAGTAACTCTTCCTCCATTTTAGGTGTAAACATTTAGGAAATGTTCTTTTTCAGATGTTAATATTTATGCAGTCTGCATAACTATATTGCTAGATAGAGTAAAACTAAGCCATTTTCAATCTTTGATATCCCTTCCCACATTTTATGGTGTGGAGAATGAGTACAAGGACTATAAGTACTAGCATAAATTCTGAGGTGTCAGGATAAGCCATAAAAGTAGATACCTTTCAAATGCTTAGGAGACAGTAGCATTCTAAAAAAGCATAGAAATATAGAGATGTCATATAGAGGGCAGATACAGGCTTGCAAAAATATCATAGAAATAATAGTACATTAATAGTTTTTTTAGTTCAGATTTTCAAGTTTAGTCGATGCTTTGCCGAAGGCGTAAAGATAGTTAAGCATTAATAAAAAACCTTGTGATGACTCTCCATATATGTCTCTAAGTCTTTTTGTTCATCTGTCCAGGATGGCCCCAGAGGTCGCTGCAGTGGAAAAGAAGGGAGGATACAACCATTTGTGTGACATTTGGGCTGTTGGCATCACTGCCATTGAATTGGCGGAGCTCCAGCCGCCCATGTTTGACCTCCACCCGATGAGGTGAGTCAGCACAAACAACAGATGGACCCCACGAAACTGTGAGAACATACTCTTTAACACAACACACTCCTTAAATGTGGCGTTTTGGCTGCCTGTTGGGGCTGCACGCTGGTGTTGTGGTTAGCTCTGATGCCTCACAGCAAGATGGTTCCGGAAGCCTGTCAGGGTGAAGTTTGCATGTGCTCTTTGTGTATGCATGGGTTGAGTCTAGTCACACGGCCTCCTCCGGCAGCCTAAAACATGAAAGTTAGTTATTTGGAGACCTGAAACTGCCTGTAAGAGTGAGTTTGTGTGTGTAAATGTGTGTAGTTGTTCGTCTCTGTGTGGAACTGCAGTGGACTGGTGAACTGTCCAGGGGGTAGCCCACCGGGAATAGGTTCCAGACCCGCTTCAACCCTCAAAAGTGATAGATAGACAATGGATGGAGGAATGGCTGCCAGCTAAAGTTTTTTTTGTTTTGTTTTTCTGTAACAGAGCACTGATGCTGATGTCCAAGAGCAGTTTCCAGCCTCCAAAACTGAAGGATAAAACAAAGTGGTGAGTTTAACTGTGCACCAACAGAGCCTCCCTTGGCAAAGCAAATAGTTTCAGCCGAGCACATTACTCAGATTTCAGTTCTGCTGCCATAATTCTGAACAGGCCAAGGTTAAAATAAATAAATAAATAAAACTGTGCTCCTTGTATGGAGTGTAAATAAAGGGCCAGTTCTTTCTATCCCCCTAGGTCCTAAAACATTTCTGATGCATCCTTTTTTTTTGTCTTGCTCATTCCCTCTTCAGGTCTGCAGGTTTCCAGAGCTTTGTGAAGATGGCTCTCATTAAAAACCCCCGGAAAAGGCCGTCAGCTGAGACCCTGTTGCAGGTTTGTACATGTACACACACATACGCCCAACGACTACATGCTCGAGTACCTTTGGAGAGTTTCTTTACAATGGGGAAAAGACCGAGCTAGGAGACAGAAGACTAAGAAAAAGAAAGCTACATTTAACAGAAAAGACAGAAAAGACCAGGCGACCTCATTAAAATATGGATTTGATAATGTCTTGATATCAACCACTTCTCCTATCTGTCCTTGGTCTTAGATAGTAGATAACATTTCCAAGCCACCACTCATTCCTGGTGGACAATCTTGAGGTGCTGGACCTCGGGGTGAGACCTTGTGTGTGCATTGTCTTGATATCAGTGGCATCCGTCTCCTCCTTTGGCAAAGTCCTGTTGCTAGGGGAGTACTGAAGTCTGACAGGACTGACTTCCTTCAGGGCCTGCTCATAATGGCCATTCGCCTGTGGAATCCTAAGGTGTTTGTTGCCTTCCTAAATGTCTGCTATGCTGCCCTCTGGTAGTTAAACTTCTGTCATTACCACCTTGTGTCTCTTTAATATATTTTTGGGCTGCACTGATGTAGTGTGACTGATATCTCAACATCCTTGAAGTATAGTCTAGTGATGTATCCTGGGATACATCTTGATGTCCACCATGTAGAGGAGGTGGCTGGTGGTTTGGAGCAAGATTTGGGCAAGACCAGCTAGTTCATTTGTCCCGATTTATGTTCACGGAGTGCCATTAGTTGTCTGCCACTGTAATGTTTGCTGGTTCATATTATGGGAAATTGCTGTCTCTCACATCCGCTCTCCTTAAAGCATTTGTGCTATTCGATGCTTATCTCCCATATTCTCTTCCAGTGTTTCTCCATCTTATTCCAATTCCTATTTCTTCTCAATTTATTAGCCTGGCACTTGATCACGGCTTTCATCTTTGATCACGGCTTTCATCATTTTCCCCGACTTTTTTTGTCTGTTTTTTTTTTTACTTTTAGCTAAGATAGACTATTACCGGGATAACCACAGTTGTGGTGTATCATCCTTGTAGGTAAAATAAGTAGTGCTGTGTTTCATCCTATAGCTGAATTTCAGAAGGTACAGAGATACATGTATAAAGTAGGCTCTTTTCACTTGTCAGCAAGAAAAAAAGCCTCTTTGTCTGGATTGTGCATGTTTTCCCTCCTGGTTCTCTCCACGTACTTGGGCTTCCTCCCACTGTCCAAAACACACATGTTAGGTAATTGATGCTTCTGAACGACCCTATCAGGAAATATTAGTGTTTTCTTGCCCGGTGATGGGCTGTTGACCTGTCCGGAAGGTACCTCACCTTTTGCCCAATGACCGCTGGGGTAGGCTGTAGCACCCACAACCCTACTAGGAATAAGCGGATGGATGGAAGTTTCGCACTTTGAGGAATTGATTCTTTCACAAAAAGTAATCTGAGTAGTTGAAGTTAGACTCTTAAGACTAGATTAAGCTAGATTCCATTAAACTTTTTGTCATTACAAAATTTACAGAGCAGCGAGTAGCAGTTTAGCTTCCAACCAGAAGGTTCCTGACCTCAGTCAGACTTTGGAGTTAGACTACCTGGACAGGACTCCTAAATAAAAGTGAAGTAGGCTATAAGTTTTTATAAAAACTGTTAAAAAGAATAGATAGATAAAAAAGAATGTTTAAAAAATCTATGGTAAGAGCACTGAATTATAAAGCAGGCAACTGGCCATAAATGAATAAATGCAGTAATTTTTTTTTTTTTTCAGAATCAGAATTAGAAATACTGTAATAATCCCAGAGGGAAATTATTTTATTTAATCATTTCCCTCTAGGAATATTAAAGTATTTAATCATTCTGATTCTGTCTTTTTTTCAAGATTTTGTTTGTTTGTTTGTTAGAGAAGCAGAATCTCCTGCAGGTGTTCAATAACATATGTGTTTTATTCTTTCAGCATCCGTTTGTGACACAGCTGCTAACCCGAAACCTGGTCATTGAGCTGCTGGACATGGCTAATAACCCAGAGCTCCACAACTCTCTCACGCACAGCATGGATGACTACGAGCTTGAGGTCAGTACTGTAATGTAGACAAAGCTTTAAAATTAAAAGCATATTCCTAAAAAGCCGGGACATTATATAAAATCACTGCAAATGCAGATGCAAATGTCTCATTTTGAGGTTGATGTCAGTTAAATTGTTATAGTTGCGACCTGGATGAGGATCCAAGTGATCTAGGTTCCAGGGAAACCAAGGAGCTTCAAATAATTTTGGTTTACCCTAAAAAAAACAGAAAAATCGCTAGAATACAGGATTATGATGCAGAAAAAAAACAAAAACCTGAAAACATCAAAACCATGAAATACCTGAAAGAGCTGGAAATACATAACAAGGGAAAGAGGAGGGCAACCATGACAGATGTGGAGACTGTAAGGATCTGAGAACTGGTAGAAGAACCAGAAGAGCTCAGGGTTGTAAGTGGAAACAACTGTGGAAATTGAGCCAGGAGAAGGGAGTGGAGATTATCAGGATAACCAGGGGAAACTAAGGAAAGATAGGGTGGCGGAGACACAGAAAGGAGAAGACAAATACCTGAATTAAACAAACCCAGGGAGGAACTGAAAGAACTAAGAACTAGTAACAAGGGACACTGAAAACAAAAGATAAACTATAAACCCATTCTGGAAAAAGCAGAAATAAATCACAAAACCTGAAAAGGTAAGAGCATAGACATTTTCTAAAAAAGCTACTTTTAATTTGATAACACAGAAATAATGTATTTGAGGACAAAATGAGACAAGAATCCCTATCTGTGGTTTTTAATTTCTGCACAGTATGTCACTGTAAAAAGTATCTCTATTCCAATTTTTTATATTCTCTTTTGTGAGGATGTTGAAAAAATGGTGAAGATTTACAGCTCAGGTTGTGTTTTGCTCTTGTCAAATTGTTGTGTGGACAGGTTGGGGAAATGGCTCCTGACAAGATTCAATCTGCGGGAAAACATCTACCTGTAGAGAGGACCGTGTCTGAAGAACAATGTGAGGATATGCCCACCCTTCCACTATAAACACTAAGATAAAAGACATCAGAGATCAGAGAGTAAATGATAAAACGTTCGCCCTTAGAATAAGCCACACATATGTCCAAGTATTCATTCAGATGAAGATTGCTTGGTTTCTTTAACAAAGCATATTCTATTTTTTTTTTTTTTACAATATGCAAAAAACATCATTTGTAATAGACGTGCTTATTTTATTTTAGACTTGCCAGACATTTTCCCCACATTATACGTTTGTTTTATGAAAACCTTAAAGATCGAGATATATATCCTTTAGAGCTATTTTAAAATTTAGTGGTGTTCATATTGTTTCTCCTATTAAATTTGAACCCTGTCTCCTCAGCACATACTGTAATATTTTTTGTAATTATCAAAGCAATAATGATAATCAAGCGTTTCAAAAAAGATCTGTTACACAAACATGTAATTTCAAAGCAAATCACTATACAGAGCAAAATCTCTACGAATGTAATGAATTTGAAGTTTTCAAGTTCATTCTTCTGAGTGGATGAGAGATACAGCACTTCATGCTGCTTCTCACTTCCCACTCTCTTGTTTCTTATTCGCATTTTGTTCTCTGTGGAGAATTTCTCAGTTTGTTCTTGATACCCATTGTATGTGCCAGTTGACTTGATGGCTTTGCTGGTGAGTGTACAGATGGATGTGAAGATCTACTGTATGTCGGTTGTGGCTGCAAAAGAGGGGCTGTTTTGTGCACCATGACTCCTTGTATTCAGCGCGGTAATCTCCATAATATGTGCGAGGACAAAGGCCTCTCAGTCAGCCTGCTGATGGCTTTCCTTGTCCTGTAACTCCTCTATACATGTGGGACGAAGGCTGCGTCAGAGGATGGCACTGAAAACATGCCTGGCCTGTGACAGACACAGTCACTTCTATGCATTCACTTGAGTGACTTCATACTGCAGAACTGCCGAGAGGGTTGTTTTTAGCACAAGTATTTCTATTTAGGTTCGTCGTCCTCGACCCCGGCCAACACCTTCACCTAATTCGACATGTTCCTGACCTCAGCTTCCTGTAGCTGTACTTTTGTTTGTTCACTACTCTAAGCTAGAAACCCCTGCAACACATCTTTACCAGTGTAGTGTTTGTAGACTGACACCTCGGCCACTAAAGCAATGTTGTGGTTTGCCTTTAATCATGTCTATTACACAACACAGCGTTATGGGTCTCATCACTTTTTTGATACTTTGATATCAAGTCTATCTATATCAGAACTGTGTTAATTAAAATTAGCTGCAATTAATTGCAAGAAAGCTTGTCTTGATAGAAAATGAATGAGTCAATTATTTTATTGTATATATATTATTGTTCATATTTGATACATTTGATAAATAATTATTTTTGTTTAAGTGATGAAGACTTATGTGACTGTAAGAAAGGTCAAATAGGTCTAATAACATTTCAAGCTTGTTTCTAAGTAAGAATGGTCCCATTTTTACATTTGTTGTTGCCTTGTAGTTTGAAGCTCCACAGACTAATCGAGTGCTGAAAAAACTGGGAACTAAGTAAGCCTGTCTAAGTGAAGTGAGGCACTGTGGACGTTTTTCTGTCATGCTTTGCTTGAAGTAAAACTATTATGACAGAAAGGCTTGTAGTTTTTTACCAAAAAGGCTTTTTTATAGTGGCCCTACTTGCAAAGTGAAAGTAAAAGCCAGATTTGGTTACAGTGATGTTTAGTTTCCGCATTAGAGCTTCATGTTCCTGCAGAGTGTAGTTTCTATCCACCATCTTGTAATCTGTGAGGTAGAGATAACTGCATCAGAACCACACGGTTAAGATAAGAGAAAAACATTGAGACTAACTGAAGTCAACATGAAAACTAATTCCACCGTTGGAGTCAGTGGTGCATAAAAGAGAAAGCTGGCCATGAATTCATGAAAACTGAATCTATTGAATTTGTGTTTTTTTACATGGGAGAAGTATAAACTAAATAAGCTGAAGGGCCCAAATAGATACGATGAAGTCATTAAAACTGCACACTATTACAATAGAATAAATGCTGATATAGTGTTGAAAACTTTAGTCCTAAAATATTAAACAAGGTGACAGCAGAAGTTTACATTTATACTATAGCCAAAAACAAAACAAAAAAACAACTTTAAATTGAGCTGAAAGAGAACATGTTGAAGGTAAATCGCAGATTTATCTTTTATTTTAATTTGTGTGTGTAATAACAAGGGAAAAACAACATCAAATGATAGCAGTAAAGGCATCACACAATTTCTGTCACAAATCTGATTTTGCCATCTTTTACTCTAAATTGTTTAAGTTTCTTAGTTGCTTCTGTTATTTTGCTAGGGTAGATGTGTAGAGGAGGTAGAGGTGGACTGATTTTATATGAGATTTTACAAACTGCTTTGCAGTGCTATAAGAAAAGCACATTATGGTCTCTGCTACAAGTATATTTCATGTCTCTCTCTTTACTGGAGAGTGAAGACAAATCCTACACGTATACAGAGTTCTTTGGGAATAGAATTTGTTGAATAGATGCTATTATTTGGGGGGTTGGGCATTCATGATACATACTACTTTTGTAACACCGATATTTTTAACGGAGATGTTCGTTTTGGTTCATTTTAGTTTTATCAAGCCAATAAAAGTACCTTTATAGTGCTGCATATTATATAAAAAAGGAAGCAGGCATACAATAACACTATGAGAACTAACGAAGATGAAACAGGATAGCAGTTTCCGCTTTCTCGTTCAGCAGTTTCCTCTCCCTGCGCTTCAAAGTCTAACTGCTGAGGGGTAACTGATGCTGTTTGTGGTTAGATGATGACCTTTTTCTTCCTCACAGTCACATTTCAGCTAATGCAATGGAATTCATCCAGTAAGCTTTACTATGTTATGTTATCCAGTGATATCTGATTTAATCCTAATGTGTGTTCAATTTCAGTTGATCAAGTAAAGTTTGGCCCTCCACGGAGAAAAGTCACTGAGCCCTATCCTGATATGGTAATGCCGTTTTACTGTACTACAGTTCTATATACTAATGACATACAAAGGAATTTGTGAACATAACCAGTTGTCCTTCTTTGGCCTGTCCTTTCAGCAGGGCTCCTATGATGATTGGAGTCTGTCTGAAGATGAGGACAGCTCCCTGTAAGACTTTCTTATGTTTTCATGTTATTTATTTTCATTCTGTATTCAGAAATTCTATGTTAAATCATTCAACGTTTAGAATGAGGACATTTGGAAAGAAAATTTTGAAATCAGTTTTTTAAAGGTTTTGTTTTCTTCTAATCCCTGAAAATCCAAAGATTTCCTCTAGATGAAACATGGATGCATGAGATAGAATAGAATAACAACAGACATGGACAATATCATGCTTGATAATCATAAATACCGATCAGGTGACGTGAGGCTCCTTATGCATCTGTTTATCTTTTCTATGCTTTAGGTCATGTACCTCAGAGAATACTTTAATAGTTACTGGGAACATGTGCTTACATTATGTAATAACTCAGATAATTGATCGTAGACCGTATGCATTTGCAGATCATGCAAATGAATTCAAATGCCTGCCCTTCGAAGTAAAATTCCTGTTTTCAGCATTTGGGCTTTGACCACTACTAAGGAAAAACAAGCCACACCATCCAACAGCAATGCATTTTTAAAAATACGTCATTCATTTTTATGGATGTGGGGACTGATAAAAATAAATACATGCATACAAATACGTACAGGCAGACATACACACACACACACACACACATATACATATAAATATATATATATATATATATATATATATGCATATTCAAAACTCACAAGATATCAACAAATGAGCAATCTAGGCATCTAAAGATGGCTTCAGAACCTAGTAGAGGAGAGCGTTTGGGTTCCTCCCTCCCACTGTCATGGGCCATTCAGGCCCAGAGTCAGATAAACACCAGAGGTCTTCCTGTTGCAGGGGCCTGTTGGAATGTGTGGAGCAAGCTCTGCAGATGAGGTAGGCCGCGTCTACCCAATCTAGCCTCTCCTAACTGCAGTGTTTTTCCATCCCACATAAATTCAACTGAAAAAAATTGCTACCTAACTGTTACATTTATGTATATATATATGTATGTCAGCTAAGCAATATATGTGCATAATCAATGGGTTTGTAATCATTCAATACTAATACCATCCCCGAAATGTATGAATTGGATGAAAACCCACTGGTTTTCTGCTTTAAGGTCTCTTTGTCTGCTTTAATGTGGAGTTTTCCTTTGGAGTCTTGTTTTTGTGGCTATTACGTTGCCTTCGGCATCTTTACAATCTGTCATTGTTGTCCATGTTTGTTTGGTGTCGTGACGCTTAATTTCAATGTTGCATATGAATTTTTAAAATAATGATCAGGGTGTTGTTTCTCCTGTTTTCTTATAGGAGTTTAACCATTAAAAGGACGCCATCTGCTGACGTAAGTATGAACTAAACAGTCATAGAAAATAAAGTCATCAAATAACCCAAACAAACAAACCCTTGACATATCTCAAGCGCTTTGAGTGGTCAGTTTGACTGGAAAAGCACTGTATAAGTACAAGTCCATTTACTAATTTCACTGAGGCACAAATCGATATGTTGGTGGTTGAGGTTGAGAGTCAATAAGATATTTTGTTTGGTAGCAACAGAAGGCTTGACCTGACAAATAAAAACAAGTGCGTGGAAACATGTTGATACATATAGTTACATTCGGAAAACCAGAATGAATCTCCCACACTACACGTAAATTAGAATCAGAATCAGAAACGTTTTTTATCCTCAAAGAACAACGATGTTGCATTTCAGTCCAACCCGTCCAGCATCAGGCAGACATCACAACATTGGGAGGACTGAGGCACAGTCAGTTATTTTGTATTTGTTTTTTTCAGGATCAGAAAAGCTTTTATTTATAATCTGATGAACTGACTGGTCATATTAACAAAGCCGTCCAGGATGGCAGGAGTTATTGCACTGGCTGCAAAATATCCCAAAACTATGGATAATTTCACAGACTTATTTTGTTCCAAAAAGAAGACTGAACAATTGCTCCAGTAATACCATTTTAAGGGCTTCTATGAGTAGTGGAGTATAGTCTATGAATATTGGTATGCAGTGTGGGATCTCTCTTTAAAATGATATCACTCATTTTTCTGATGGTGTTTTTCAGGGAGGTAGGAAAAGTGGTTTCTTCAGTCTATCAACAGCCTCGTTGCCAGTCTTCAGCTCATTAGCTTCCAACGCAGAGGACAGAGACTTGACATTGAGGCCGAGCTGCACACTCGGCCCGGACTCTGCCATCCCAGCTGACTCCAGCTCTGCTGCAGGTGAAGCTCCCCACTCAACATTCCATCAGCAGGCAGCTCATTTCAGCACTCTCATCCCAACCACATCCTAAAACTCAGATGCCCAAAAGGCTTTGCAATCCACTGATAAAACATAGCCGTTAAGCAGACTGTAAAGGGGATGTGGTAAATGGTTTGAAGGGTTTGTTATTTTTGTTCTGTTTCAGTCCAATCGAACAGTTACTTTACGGTCCAACAGGCCAGCTGTTTTTCTACCACTCAGGGCAGAAATGGAGTGCTATCAGGCACATCCTGAGTACATACACATCTATTGATGCTTTGGTGCAGACTGTACTGGAAAGGAAACAGTTATTCTGTCTACAAATGGGGGGCAGATAGTGTTTTTAGCGAACCTTGGTCTTAAAATATTTGCTGTAAGATGGTGCATATATCCCTATCTGTCTATGTTGACATTAGCATTTATTCTTTGTAGCCATCTGTTAATAAATTATTTCTTTTAGTTTGGGTAAATCATAGATTTGTCTTAAAAACGACAGCAATTGGAATTGAGTTGATTAAAGCATGTAGACTTCAAGCTGACAGTATGCGTTTCAGGGGGAAAATGTTTATTTTTCTCCTGTTTTTGCTGCTATAAGTCTTGGCCAGGTGTTCAGGCACACAAGACATCAGCCAGCGCTGCAGTGATCCATGCCTGTCTGCAGACGAAACCGTAAACCCGGAAAAAAGGACGATCACCACGGTTTCCTCTCCAAAAAAAGATGTGCCTCTATCGCCTGAGTGGAGCACGCTGAGGAGAAAAACAGAGGACTCTGTAAGTTGCTTCAGTATGTCTTTTCAGATCAGAGGCAAGCACCAGAAAGCCTTTTGTGATTTGCTAACCAAATAACTCCCTAATGAGTTTGTTTGAACCTCTAAAAAGACACAAATCACAGAACAACATTCGTGTTGACTTCCCTCTGGTGTACATTTTTTTTTATTTCTCCCTTTGTTTTGTTTTATGTAACCTTTGTAATTTCTAGAGAGCTGATTGTCATGGACTTCCTCCCACCCCTCAAGTCCATGTAAGTGTGGATTCTAACAGCATGTAACCTAAATGAAACAACGCTTATGAGACTAACAGCATATGCTTACTTACTTGGCACATAATGATGGTTTTAGTGGCGGCACTGAACCATCAGATTGTTGTCATTATACAGTATTCTTCTTTCAGATGAGCTTGGAAGACATGGAACCCCTGCTGCCATTTTTTTGCATGCTACCCTTTGGAGTTAGGGCAAAAATAACATTCTGCAGCTTTGAATACAAAAAAAATATTTTTACAATCGTAATTCCTACCTGGCTTGTTCGGCTGGAAATACTACAGGGAAAGTGAACGGTCACTCCGTTGTTCTCAGAACAGAAATGATTCAGTTGCTTTCCTGGTTCTTTAGATGGGAGCTTGCTTCTCCAAGGTCTTCAATGGTTGTCCTCTAAAAATCCACTGTGCTGTCACTTGGATTTACCCCAAAACAAGAGGTAATTGACCTTTTTGTGTCCTGAAACTCTAATGGTGGTGGTTTTGAATTCAAAGGTACATTGAGTCTTGCTTGCCATCTTCCAGGAAGATGCTTGAACTGCTTTTCTATTAATAACAGTAATGAAATACTGAAAAGGCCTTATTCCCTCTTTAACAAATTCTTTATTACATAGATCAGTATCTTATACTTGGGACTGAGGAGGGAATCTACACACTGAACCTGAATGAACTTCATGAGGATACACTGGAGAAGGTAAGATAATGGCTCATAGAACTGATAATCTCTGCATTTACAATATTATCAGTAGAGCTTTGTAAAAATTTGGGTGAAGTATTGCTTGTTTCCATTTTCTGACTGGAAAAAAAATGTTGAAGAGTTTTATTAGGGGCTCTGCGGTGAGTGATGTTAATGATGTTTCTACAAGTCAAGTCTCTTTTAAGCTAACAAATAAACACCCAAAAACATCGATATCTGAATTGTTTCTCAGCATTTCTTTTGTCTGTTGTACGTGGTGAATCGATACTCAGTGCCCTGTTGTGTTTCTCTTCTTTTTTTCTACAGCTGCTGCCCCAGCGATCCACATGGCTATATGTTATGAACAATGTGCTCATGTCTGTGTCAGGTAGCCTACCACATGTAATAATAGCCCCCATCATTCAAAGACGAAAAAAATATCTGTCGTGTTATTATTTGCTGATGTAAATAGATGTCTATCCTGCAGGCAAGTCGTCCCAGCTTTATTCCCACAGTCTGAACGCTCTGTTTGAACAAAAAGGGCATCTGCAGAAGAAGCACAGTAGTCTGTCTCTCAGTACCAGCCGCTTTACCGACAGGATCAACCCCAGGTACAGCAGGCCATTCTTAACGTGGCAATAAAGTCAGTAGGAGATGGTGTTTCAGTTTGTGATTTTTCTCAATCCGAGTAATACATTGATTCTACAAATGGTAGTTTTTTATTGATGTCTGTGGCATTTGTGCTCTTACTTAATTAAGTGTTGTCTCCTCTTAGAAAATTTGCCATATCTGTGAAAATCCCTGACACTAAAGGCTGTAGGAGATGTAGTGTAGGTAAGTAGATCTCTACTCTGAAGTTGTTTGCACATATACTGCAACCGTTAAATGTTCCAGAGATGTTGCTGAGAAGTTGCCCCAGCCATCTTGTAAAATGTCAGGTTCATTACTGTGAAAGACTTTGTGTGAGCGTAGATGCTAATCTTTCTGAACATAAAGTACAAAAGTATACTTTCCACTAAAAATGTATTCTTTGTACTCTCTCCTACTCATTTGTTGCTTTTCAGACTATAAGAGTCATCCACCATTCTCTTAAACAGTGTTTTTTAAAGAAGTCACAACAATTTCCTACAATGCACTTTTTGCATAACTTCCAAAGTGCTTGTGCTCAAAATAAGAAATGCAGGAAAAGTTGTGAACCAAATGATCCACCCATTCTCCTGAATATCCCCACTGTGCACATGGATGTTGTGCTTTTTCTATGCAATAACAACAACATTTTTATTCTTCCCAGCCAGAAATCCTTACACCGACAGCACATTTCTGTGCGGGGCAGTTCCATCTGGCCTGGTTTTACTGTTGTGGTATGAGCCTCTCCAGAAGTTTATGCATCTTAAGGTTAGTCCAGATATCTTATTCTTCCAGAAGGTATTAGGCTGTAATCCAACACTGAAATGTCAATGAGTCCAAAATAGGTTGAATTTGTGTTACCAGACCTCCTTTACTCTTATCACATGAATACACTAACTCTCTAAAAGGGTATCCATTCAAAATTTCAAAATGACCTCCTTGGATCACCACATCATGTCACACCAACCTATTCTAGGTTCTCTTGAATTCAGTTGAATGACAGAATCTGGCTGCGCCAAATTAATTAACTCATTTTTGCTATATTTTTCTTTTACAGCACATAGCAGTTAGGCTGCCTGACTCTCTGCCAATATTTGAGCTGCTCGTGCTCGTGACAGATGAGTTTCCTCAACTGTGTGTGGGAGTGAGAGAGTGTGATAATGGGAAGCCCCCAACAAGCCAACAGCTAAAGTTTGATATAATAGAGCTGAACGGCACACCTATTTCAATAACAGGTAACAGCACATGCTTTTTCTTTTTTCTTTCTCCATGGAAGATGAGTCATATCTTAAACTGAACCTCTCTTTGTCGCTCTACATATGCAGATAATAGAGCGCTGGGAGCTGTACAGGTAACCCAACTTGACCGAGACACCGTTCTCATTGCAATAGAAAGTAAGTCACTTCCATGTCCAAATATCTAACATTTGATTTTATGTCGATTTTTCATAAAATGTGCTTTCATCTTATTATACGCTGAACAGAAACAGTCAAGATTGTGAACATGCGGGGGCTGCCATCCTCAGAACATGCTTCTGAAATAATCTTTGACTTCCCAGTTGAAACGCTAGGTATTTACAATAATAAATGAAACACTGAGCATTGATGTTTTGTCCGATAGTACAGTTATGTGACGCACTTTTACAGTCTGCTTGCAGGATAGTGTGCTGGCTTTTTGGAAGCATGGCCTGAAAGGGAAAAGTTTCCATTCGGATGAGGTAATTATCTTCCATTAATGTCATACTGGAATTGACGTGGTTGTTATTTTATAAAAATCATGTTTTCTTTTCCTTTTGTATAAAAGTGAATTAACCTGTCCTTTACAGGTAACACAAGAAATTACTGATGTCAGTCGAGTGTTCAGAGTTTTGGGGACGAACAGGTATGTGAACCGTAATATGATCAGATCTATCATTAAATTTTAACAGCAAAACAAGAATGAAATGTCATTGATAGTAGTGTTAATATAAGTAGGAGCACTCCTCATTCCTCCTTACTAACAGACCAAGTAAAACAAAAACTGATTCCTATTAAGTTGAGACTCTGTATGAAATGTAATTAAAACAGATTGCCTTTTCTTTTTCCAACCATATTTAATTGAACATGCTACACAAGACACATTTAAAGTTCAAGAAGATAAATGTTCTTCTTTTTTTTGCAAACAGTTACTCATTTTGAGTTTGATGCACACAAAACTTTCCAAAATAAAAGAAGGTGTCAGGAAGCACTGGACAGCAATGATATTTCTAGTGTTATTAGCTAGTATTAATAGATACTATTACGTACTATCTTCTGAAGTAACATCGCTATTAGTAGCAGTATTTATTGACAAAACACTTTAGTGTGATAGTCAGTTTTTTTCCACTTTGAATGTGCTGAGTCTTTTCTATATTATTTGCTGTCTAAACAGAGACATCATCCTCCAAAGTACGCCAACAGATGACCCCTCAGCGCTGAGCAACCTGTATATCTTGACTGGCCACGAGAACAGCTACTGAGCACCACAAAGGACGTCTTGAAGACGCAAACTAAAGGAATGCAGACCTTTTTATCACCGTGATGAAGAGATGATGCCCGTCTTCACTGAGGTTGCGGTAGACAGTATTGTTAGCTCACTACACCGGCTTCCTGCAGGTAATTAAGAATATCAGCAAGAGGCCTCAGTCTGAGTTTGCGTCAGAGATACACAAAGAACTTGAGATTGTGTTTGTATATATTATACAGTGTGACATGGTTGAAAAGCTTACGGTGTAGTTGAGTATCCTATGACGTAGTCTAAGCCTTAGCATTCCTGTAAACGGGTGCGCAACACTTCACAAGTATAACTACACAAACCATGACCACCCACCAGACCATGTTTACGCAATGCCATTCAAATAACTTAACTTTCAGTCACCATTTTTAAGCCGCAACAGAAACCAACCATTGAAACCAATAGATTGTATTCTAACTCTCAGCTGACCAGTTTAGTCTGTTTTCACACCAAACAAAAATGGACCCACCCAAAGAGAAAGTCTTGAGCAACCCTTCATTTAAGAGAAAATCAATAAATATGGCAAACTGAATTTGAACGAGCTTCAAAGTTATATTCTAAATATGTTCTCCGTCAAATTGATTCTGCATTGCATCTGTAATGTTTGGGTTTTGGATCTGGGGCAGATGTATATTCCCGGTTTGAATCCTAAGGCTCCTCCCTGTGTGGAGTTTGCATGTTCTCTACTTCCTCCCACAATCTAAAAAGGTAAACTGATTATTTTTAAACTGGCCACAGCAATAAATGTGAGTATGTACTGTTGTTCGTCTCTGTGGGGCCCTGTGAGAGACTGGTGACCTGTTCAGTCCCCCACAATCCTACCAGCAATAAGTGGCGTAGCAAACAGATGGACGGACTGGACTGACAAATGAGCCAGTGTCCTGAGAAAAACTTTGATAAACCAGCAAATAAACGGGGAATGTCTGCTTTAAAAAAGTACAAAAAAGTATGGTTCATTGGAAGCAAAATATAAGGAATTAATGGGTGGCTCAAGACATCTGCACAATGCTGAGCATTAATAGTACAAGTTTGGATGAGAATATATATAACATAAATGGTGCATAATGTAAAGTATCTGATTTTATCTATGAATATTAAACACAGTTGTAAAGTATGACTCTGTTCCATTATTGTTGATGGCAAATCTACTAAAAGACTAAATGTGCTTCTACATCAGATGATGTAAAACTGTTACTTGTGCTTTTTTCCCCTACAATATAAATGTCACTACATTACAACTTTATGTGTGTGTGTCCATGTAATACTTATGCTATTTATGGAAAGGGAACTGTATGAATAATGGGCACCTTTACCTGAGACGTTCTTGGGAGACACAAAATACATGAGTATCTTTATTTTCAACATGTTTTGTTGTTGTCATGGATCCATTTGATGTATATAACCGTGCAGTGTGCTCTTATGATATGGAGCAGATGTAATATAAAAAATAAAAATAATGTTTTTTTGACACTTAAGCATCCAAAATTGATTTCTTATCCTGTCTCTGGGTGGATTTTTGTTCTGACAATCTTTTTTTTTTTAGCAAAAAGATTTCACTTCCTTACTTAGTGGGAATTGGGAACACGTTTTCTACATAACTTATAAAAACCTTTTAGGCTGACATTTTAAGATTTGTCTTATCTTTATGGCCCGGTCCACACGCACGAGAGGGTGGCGGCAGTGCAACAATAACCCTGATAAGGACAGACGAAGAAGAACGAGGCCCTGTGCAGCAGCGCCATTTCACGTTTCATTCATTAGTACCTAGACCTACGTAGGGTAAGAGGTAAGTGACACATTTAGTGGCTGCATTTTTAAATAAATATATATTGTAAGATATTTGGGGTGTGTAGCTGTTGTTGTGTACGTAGGAGATGTCCTATGACGAGATATGGGCGTAACAGGGATCCGCTTGCTAGCCAGCTAAGATTAGCTTCCCTTACTGTTGAGTAAGAGACTGGCGTCGCGAGTAATTATATATAAACTTTGCAGTGTGCATTTAAAGTCACGTCGGTTCAAATTGTATCCCCGTTGCTGTTATTTGTGTAGAAATATAGCAAAGGTGCAAAAATATGCATAGCTCTATCTAGCTTTAGCAAGCTAGCTAGCTTCGTGGCGTAAGTTGGAGGCTCGTGTTTACATGTCTACAGTTGTATACATGTGGAACCGGGTTTCGACACAGGATATACAACTAACAGCCGATGGATTTAGCTTTTTCATATAATAGACTATTATGCTTATCATTAATGTAATGTACTGAATGCTCATAGGAGCTAAAAATAGTAGTTGTGTTGAATGTGAGATAAGAGATTACGCTAGCATCAACTAAATTGGCCCACAAACGTTATAAAAAGTTTAGGTAAGTTAACTACCTTTTCATTTAGCGCATGTTGTGTATTCGATTCTTCAATGGAACACCTTAATATTCAAAATCTCTGAAAAACTCGCGTGATAAAACCCATGTCCATACTGCATAGTGGCCCCCAGGTAAAACTGACCTGAAACTGCCCTCACTTTTTGCTGTGTATGTCTCAGACTGACAGTGTTCTCACAAGTCGCTGTTGGTGGGGATTGTCTTTGTTTTTTACTTTGTGTTTTTAGTATTCCCGGTCTATGGTTATGGATTAATGATTGATGGTGCTTTTTTTTATTCTTGCAGAACACACAGAGCTTCATCATGGTGAAGATTTTTATTGGCAACCTTGCCTGTAACACCACGGCTGATGAGCTCCGGGAACTGTTTGAGAAATACGGCAAAGTCACGGAATGCGACGTCGTCAAAAACTATGGTTTCGTGCACATGAGCAACATGTCGGAGGCGGAGGAGGCCATCAAAAACCTCCACCAGCACCAGCTGAACGGCTGGCGCATGAACGTGGAGATGAGCAAAGGCAGGCCCAAGTCCACCACCAAACTACACGTCAGCAACCTGGGTGAAAGCGTCAATAGCGAGCTTCTGCGGGCCAAGTTCGAAGAGTTTGGCACGGTGGTGGAGTGCGACATAGTTAAGGACTATGCATTTGTCCACATGGAAAGAATGGAGGACGCCATGGACGCCATCAATAAGTTGGACAACACAGCCTTCAAAGGTGAACTCTTTGGCAGTGCAAGTCTAATTTTTCTATCATTTCAGTTTGAAGTCTTTCCATAAAAGGTTTTTCTTACTAATTAAGTCCCCTGGCATTTTTGCACAGACTTTAAATCTTTGCATTTATCGAGTAGTTTGATAAGTTTAGAAGTATGTTTTATTTCCTTCTTCTTCTCCTCTCTATCAACTGGTGGTGCTATTTGGAACAAAGCAGAGACATAAAACTACCTGAGTCTGGTTGTACAATTTATTTCCCATCGCAGTCTTTATCGGTCAGTTTCCTTTAATGTGTAATAATCGGTAAGAGCCTTTCAGCGTCGGAGCCACGCGGTCTCACGAGTGTCTTCTCTCTCCTTAAAAGGCAAGCTGATGAATGTACAGCTGTCCACCAGTCGGCTCCGCACTGCCCCGGGAATGGGAGATCATACTGGCTGCTTTGTGTGCGGGAAACACGGTCACTGGTCGAAAGACTGCCCCGTCGGTCGGAACAGTAGCCACGACGATGCCGCGAGAGGTCACAGCGGGTGGGGGCCTCCACAGGGCCCCCCAGGTTATGCCGGGGCCAGCTACGGAATGGCCGCGCTCCCCGCCGCCGACTATACCAGCAGCTCCCTATATAGCCGGGCCAGTTACGTCGGCGCTTTGCCCCCCCCGCCCCAGAGGCTCAGCAGCTACAGCCCTGAGGCGGGGAATCGGTTTGCCAGCAGAGCGGTCGGCTTCTACTCCGACAGGTCCTCCCCTTACGATCAGGAACATCTCTACGGCAGCGCTGACTATTACGAAAAGTACCGCGCTCGCCCTTATGGCTCGAGCTATTTTGAGGACCGCCGCCTGTCCTATCTCCCTCCTCCCCCCCCTCCCCCTCCCACCGTCTCTAAGCTTTCATCCAGTATGGATTCGTATGACCGTCGGGCGTTGCCTCAGCCTTCTACAGCCGCCGCATACTATGCGCAGGAGCAAAGCCCCGTCGGGCAAGTCCCACCCTCCACGGCTGGGTACACGTACGAGCGAACGCGCCTGTCGCCGGTGTCTGCCTCCAGGAGCTCGTACTCTGCTCCTCGCCCCAAGGATCATTACACGCAGCGCTATGCCCCGTACTAAGCCCCCGGTGCCAAGAGGAGATATCGATATAACCGCTTATGTATGCATTTTCTTTTGCTAGACATGGTCCTCTTGGTACTAGGATTTCCAGTTCACTGGGACTTGGCTCTTCAGTGCACAGAACCTTTTAGAGCTGTAAATAATGGGGTTCTGGACCCCGTTTCTGAAAAAGAAATGCTTTGCTCTCTCTCTAGGTCAAGACCTCTCCTTGTCGGTCATTGTTCCATCAGTCTGTGACGCGCCACAAAGAGATCCCAGTAGAAATTGCCAGCCTTTTCAGGCCCCTAAGATACCAGCCGTCTGACCATGAGTTTTTCTCTTCAGTAATTCAAAAGAGTGGTTTGTATACTTCGATCGTGTATAACGCAGACATAATTTCACTTTGAGTTCAGTTTTTCAGCTATTTGATCTGCCCCTTGACATTTTTCCTGATGTGAGGCCAACTGTTAAAATCAATAAAAGAAAAAGTAATTTGCTCTGCTTTTTTTTTGTTAAGTGCTCTAGGTGCACTGTCTAACTTTTTATGTGCAGAGAGCGACATTTGTTCATTGTAGAGCAAAAGAGTTTTATTTTGTTATTCCCTCCTTGACATGTTGGCAACGTGAAGGCATATAAAAAGAAATGCTCAACATAGTTTTGTTACAAATCTTCATTGATGTGATGTATTTTTAGTTGTATCCAAAAAATATGTTGCTACCCGTCTGTACATAAAACTAAGCTAGGGGTAGTTCATCCTCAATGATGCGTGACAGACTATGATTTGAACCAAAATCCAATGGTAAAATTCTGTCTCCTATGAATTTGGCTGAGTTTTTTTTGGGACTCAGCTTTTGTTAGAATCTAAAATACCCTCAAACATTCCAGCCTCTTCGATAATGTTTTGGTTTTGATATTTCAATAGAATATAAAATTGACATGTTTTCACTTTAGATTGTGTTTTTTTGCTTAACTTAAACTCAACTGAAAGTTGGGTGACAACCAAACTGTGTTAACTGTCATGCATTGCATGACTACCTTCTGCTTTTGGTTGTGGTGTGGTTTTGGGGTGGGGGGATGGGGGGGTAGGTGACAGGAAGCAATCCATCATGCCTGCCTTTTATTCCCCTCTTTGAATAATATCATTGTAAACCGTGTGAGCAGATGACGCAGTGTGAGGTTTGACTCGGGGCTCGGCCTGCAGAATTCACAGGGAACGCGTTTTCTGGTCACCGTGCCTGTGTTTTACATTTAGATGGATCTGAAGTTTGTATTTTTCATACTAGCTGTAAAAAGAAAAATGTCTGCATACATTCAAAATCTGGAATTGGTATTTTTAATAAAGTGAATATTATTTCATTGAAAGAAAATCACATTTTGTTGTTTGAAAACCTATTTTACGATATTGCAATGTTTGATCCGGGTAATGTAACATTTTGAGTTTAGAATTTCATAAAGAGAAGCAACTGATACAAGTTAGTATAACATAAAACACATTTCAAATGTTTTTTATCTTATTTATTTGTTCATAGAGGCTAAGAAATAACTTGATTTCATTATTATTACGACGTCGAGTTCTGATTATAACATTTATAAACAGAGCGTTATGAAAGTCCACTTGGGTTTCTTTATTGCGATGTTGTTGTGGTGCGCATGCGTATCATTGAGCTAGGTTCTCTATGAGAGTGGGGCTAACAGTTAGCACTATGTCTTTGCAGTGGCGTTGTGTGGTCACGAGTGCAGGATAATTTCGTGTAGCATCAGTCAATCGCGTTTCGTTCGCCATTACATTCTCCGAGGTCAAAACTCCGTCGAAAGCTCCAGGTATGAATTCCGCGACCTGAAAACGAGAGAGATGTGACGTCGTTTGTTAGCTAAATGCACGAAATGCCCTGCTGCTAGTCGCAAAAAGGTACAATGTAGTGTAGCTAACGATGATAGGCTAAGCTAAGTCCCACGCTAAAGGCTTGCAATATGGGCTAGACAGGCCATTACATAAACACGTTGACAAATTGGTTACAAATCGTTGTTATTGGCCGTAATATTGTCGCTTGTACATTTCCACTGTTGTATCAGTGTTGTTTTATGTCGATTTACGAACGTAAAGTTGGTTTAGGCCACTTTGTAGCTTAGGTTAGGAGTCGTGCTACGATGTGTTCCGTAAAGGGAAGAAAATCAGCGGTAGTTGCGAGCAATGGGTGTGCGGCGGTTTCGGTTGTGTTGGTATGACTGTTGAATAAGGAAGCCTACTTCTTTTCAGGCAGCGATTGGGTTTAATCTTTTACTCAATTTTACAAACGACAACCTTTGAGTATTCGTTACATTTGGAGAGCTTTAATATGCGCTAAGCGTACGAGTTATGTTCCACCGCTTGCATTGGGGAAACTAAACAATGAAACCACGATGCATTAGCCATTTTAATTTGAAGCTACAACTTGAATAATGTATAACTCAACTCTGTTAGGGCCTGTGAAGACGCTGATTTGTTTTTTCCCGGTGTTTATTTATCATGCATATATCGTTATTATGAGATATCTCCTTACAAATATTATTATACTACTCCAGTGTAAGATCAGTGATCATTGTAAGCATTTGAGATGATTTTGCTTGAGGATGATGTTGAGATATTGTCACTAGATTTTATGTGAATAATGTTTCTGATTGATTCTTCCTTAGTGACAAGGAGGCTCCATAATGGTGAAGATATTCATTGGGAACTTGGCCGCAGACACCACATCTGACGAACTTCGCTCCCTCTTCTCCCAATATGGCAAGATTGCAGAATGCTCCATTGTCAAGAATTTTGGCTTTGTGCACATGGATGACAAAGCGGAGGCCGAAGAGGCTATCCGCAACCTCCACCAGTACGAGCTCAACGGTCAGCCCCTAAATGTCGAGTTAAGTCGGGGCAAGTCGAGAGGATCCACCAAACTACATGTTGGCAACATTGCATGTACCAATCAAGAGCTGAGGGCCAAGTTTGAAGAGTTTGGCGCGGTTCTGGAGTGTGACATCGTTAAAAATTATGCTTTTGTTCACATGGAGCGCATGGAGGATGCCATGGAGGCTATTAATCAGATGGACAACACAGCTTTTAAAGGTGAACTCTTGGGCTGGGCTTGATGGGAAGTTTCAGTTAGCCTAATGATATAGTCTCGACAGTACCTTGTTTTTGTGAATTGACAGGTAAGTCATGGATGGGCAACAGGTAAGTTAAAGGGGAACTGGGAAAGTCGAGCCCCAAAAAAAAAATCAGCATAATTTTAAAGCTGTTATCCGTGATTTCCGGCCATATTTGAAACAAACCGACATCTTTTAAAAGGCGCATCCCTTCACTCTACTAATTGTGGTAGCAAATGTTAACTGATATGGATATATGTGCCCACATTTGACCTGTTAATCCCCAAGATTTGGGCTGCAGACGAGATCTGTGCGAACCAAAACATGGGCACCGACATCAGTATTGTAGTTGCGGTTTTGCCAGTGGAGTGGGTCAAAATGTGTGGCAAGTTACGGATTTCAGCTTTAACAAACCCTTTTTTTTTTTAAGTTCTTGCATCAGAAGCTTTGTCCTAATCTGACTGGACTGAGTGTAAAGCAGCTTCTAAGCAGGATAGTGGGTTAGGAGATTTGACACAGGTAATGTCTCAAACAGGAAATGTCAAATGTGTAATTAACATTAAGTGCAGGTAAAAGTCCTTATTGAGTCTTCTCTTTTTAAGGCAAACTGATGAGCGTGAAGCTTTCGACTAGCCGCCTGCGTACTGCGCCGGGAATGGGAGACAGATCGGGTTGTTATCGTTGCGGGCAGGAAGGCCACTGGTCCAAAGAATGTCCTCTAGACCAAAATGGCGCCCACAGAAACGGCTCAGAGCCACAATCTGATGGATTCGATGCCTCGAGATTTGACGGGCGTGGTTGCAGCCGGGGTTTTCCGGACTTCGGTGGGGATCCAGATTACGGCGCCTACGTACATGGTTTTTCCCGGGGGGCTGCTCACAGCGGCACCATGGCGGGTTACAGAGGAGGTGCGGGCTATGAGGGTGCAATGAGGTACGCGCCGCACCCCGGTTATGGCCTAAACGCCGTGGCCGATCATAGCATGCCGCGGATGTACGGCAGCGAGGCGGCATACAGGAGCAACGGGGCAGTCTATGGCGCGGTTCCAGCCTTCTCGGTGCGACGGTCGCCTTACGAGGAGCGGGATCCGTACGGGGTCGTGGACTACTATGAGAAGTACAGGGCCAATTCTTTCGGAGGCAGTTATTTCGAGGAGCGCCGTGGGGTCCCCGTGCCTGCTCCATCGACCACCTCCTCCGCAGCTGTAAGGGAGCGTCTGCCCCCCTCGAGCGTCGATCCATACGAGTGTCCTCCCCTCCCTCCTCCACCGGCCTCAGGCTCCACGTACTACGCACGCGACCGGAGTCCCATACGGAGAGTCGCTGGCGAAGCGGGTGGATATACATATGAGCGTTCGCGCCTTTCCCCGGTGTCCGCACTCCCAAGAAGCTCTACCTTTGATATGCGGGAAACCGGCGCCGCGGGCTCACGGTATACATACTAACCCTTGCCTACCACAGCTAGCTGAGAACTGACCACCTTTAACTAGATTGTACAGCGTCAGTGCCACTGGAGTGACAACAAATTTACAAGAGACAAACAGAGTTTATCCCATTGCTGTCCTGACGTCCAAGTCAGCCCTTTTTTAGAATGGCTAATGTATATTAGCGAGCAGCAGTGACCACGATCACAAATAATTCTTCCTATTACTATGGCCAACAAGTAGATATCGGTGTCATCGGTGCTGTTGTGCTTTGATCTAATCCTAGGTTACGCTAAAGTGCAGTAAGCTCTCGGCTCCTTTAACAACCTTCATTTTTCGCATTTTACCTGTTGTGGTATTTGTGCAATTCTGAGACATTTTTAGTTTTCTTTTTAATCTTAAGTGAAGGTTAACCCCCACCCCGATTCCCTTCATCATTACAGTAAGGATTTCATTTTCGCTCTTGAAGGGAGATACATGTTAGCATATTCTTGATATTGAATTAGAGCAAGATGCATGTGTAAAGGTGAGTCTGTATTAATCAGTCTTTGATTTCGGTAAGCAGTTTCTAATGTTTTACTGTGTACATTGTAGTCTACATGTGTCAGTGGATGTTCCAGCATTATTTGAAGCAATGGCGGATAAAAAGTAGCTGCAGAGGGCTTTCATCGGCTACTTCTTGCAAAAACAGATCAAAATGGTAAAAAGAAAAAAAACAAACTATTTTGGATTATATATTGTGAAATACACTTGAGTTTTTTTAAAAATCCGTTTGTGACTTTTTAAAATTGATTTCTAATGTAAGACCAGGCTTAAAAAACCTCCATAATCATATAATGTAATAACTAACTGACTTTAGTTTCTGTCCTGCTTCCTCACTTTTTGTTCTGATTAAAAGTTTAAAGCTGTTACCTGTGTTTGTGCTGAGTTTTCTGTCCTTTGGTCAAATGGTATAAATCGATTTAGTCAGGCCTCATATCAATAGAAACTGAAAATTTGATTCCATAAAAATCTTTGAATTGTTTCTGGAATCTGGTCAGAATGATTACGTTAATGGCTAACGTGTTGAATAAGTAACATATTTTGAATATCACAAGCTATTGTAATGGAATATTTGATTATATTTTAGCAAGTTTTCCCTCTGCAAAGAATTGAGAGGTCTGTCATTTTAATTATAGGTCCACTTCAACTGTCAATATGATTATTATGTAATTATTTAGCGTTTTATGGCATGAAATGAGGATTCGATCCCCGACCAACCGGCAACCATACAGTCTGACCAATCTGTTTGTCAGTAAAAAACCCTCCAATCCCCATTAATTTATGAACTACACATTTTTAAAATGTTTTCTGTGTAAAATACGTCTGTCCATACACCCAGTCAGACTAACCTAAATAATGAGAAGAATGTCTAAGGACGCCAGTGACTACATTTTGGCTACTGGACAGTTATAGTTACAGGACAATATACAAGTAGCTTATGAGGAAAGCCAACAACTCTTGTGTAATTATTAGAAAGTTTAAGAAACTAAACATGACTGTCAGTATCCTTCAAAATGGGACTCAATGCAAGATTTCACCCTGTGGAGTATCAATGTTCATGGAAAAAGATGGCCATTGGTGACTCACTTTTTATATTTTTTTAAATAAAATCCTGCAGCTCACAGTTTCCCATGCTCAAACCAGCACAGGTCCATGCCTGTAAACATCTGGATGATCCAGAGGAGGCATAGAAAATCCAATTATAGCTTTGGTATAAACTCCAATGGCTGTATTTGGAGGAAGATGGAGGAATTCCAAAAACACCTGGACCCGACAGAAAATCTGCCCTGAAACCTGAGAAGATCTGTGTGGAATTCTGGGCCTAAATGTGGTCCGGTACACCTGATCGAGAACTTTAGGAAAAATACAAAGATTTATCCTTTGTTCCCTGGGGGGTCCAAACAGGCGTGTTTACTGTTGTTCCTATGAAAATAAGAAACCACTCCAATTTTGAATGTGGACAAATGTGCAAAGTTGGGAGCGCAAATACTTATTTTCTCCACTGTACTTATTTGAGCCGTCTATCAAAGACCAAACAAGCCTTTTTCAGGTCTAGAAGGAAATAGCTAAAACAAGAGGAAAAGTGTGCTAAATATTGTTTCAGTTTGGATCAAAAGTAACAAACATGGAGTTGTTTGTGTATGAAATGGAAAAGGACGCTACAGGTATTAAAGCAGTATTAAAGGTTGTAAAGCAGTTTGTGACCGGAAATTCAGTTTTTCAGGGCTTCAGGAATGTAGTGACGTTTTCTGGATACTGATGACTAGCAAATGAGTTTTATAAAAACTTTTTTTTAGACTTCAGGCAGCACACAGTGGGCAAAACAAGTAAAAAATGACAAAATTCAGTACTAAATTTAACATACACTCTAAAGCTAACCTTATCCAACTTATCAAAATACAAAAGACATGAAGTTTATTGCATTATATTATGACTGTAAACAGAGAATTTAAATGGTCCCAACAGGCAAAAGATATAATTTTTTGGGTCTAATTACGATAAGGTAGTTAAAAATAATAAACTCTAGAGATATCTGTGCTGTGCCACTTAATGAATGTGACCTATAAGAGATAAACGTTATGCCAGTAGATCATTCAGTCACATAATTAAGTACTATCATTAATAAAATTAAAGAATTCCTTAATAATTAGAATTATGATCCAATAGTGAACAAATAAAGAAAAAAAGCTAAATTAGTTTATCTTTTTATCAATCGAAGACTTTTGCTCTCCAAGAGGAGTCTCTATATCCATGTCATTATAAGTGATAAAAATTCAAATTATACTACTGACACAACTATTTGAAATCATTTCTCAACATTTGCATTTAATCCAAATGGAGGACTTAATTTATTGTTAAAATGTGATTATGAGCCCAAGAAATTGCCTGTACAATGAACTAGTTTTTACAAACCAAGTTTTCCAAGAATGTGCCGCAGCTTCTTAAAGGCTCTGTAACTGAGCTTCTAATGAGTAATCCTGGTAATAGCATTTTTCTTAAACATGCTGACATCCCAACGCACACATGTTCAAGTAAACATATTGATAATCATATTGTAAAAGCAATTATTCCTTCAGTTCGATTCCGCTGGACACAGATTTATGATGAAAATTACTAGGGAAAAGGGCCAACTGATAAATCTAAAATGATGTACATTATATACCCAGCAAAATAATGGTTTGGCTGAATGTTACAGCATTATATCAGATGGAAAACCAGTCACTTCACCTAGTTTCTAAGAGAGTAGTGTAACAGTCTATATTTAGTTTAGCTGTCTTATCCTTTATTTGGTGTTACTCTTTATTAATCTTATTTCTTTTGGCATATTAAATGTCCCTCCATAGTTGTCATATTGCAGGTTGTAATAGTAAAGGATTGTGGGAGTTGTAGTATAAAGAAAGACAAAAAGAGGGATCAGGATGATGACTTCTTGACGACCCACGAAATCAAGTCTTCTTTTGTGGTGTGTGATCCTGTCAAACGAACTCTGAAAGCTACGTTACAGTACAATGGAAAAGGACTTCATTTTTTTGTTCGATTTGTATTGTTCATTTAGCAAATCCCATATTCACATACAAAAACGTTTTGACTCCAAACAGAATGTAGACTTTATTGCAGGAGGTATACCACTATAGCACCAGTAGCATATTCAAGGACCGTAGAAGCAAAAGGCATTGAACACAAATCGTGTTTGACAAAGTTTTTATTTGATTAATAAATATTTTCTTTAATCTGTTTCCATTTGTTGTATTGTCTGCTTATACACTCTGTTTAAATATCGAGTATTGTCATGTATGTCGTTAATAAAGAAGAAATCGTCGTACATCAACCGAGCTGCTATTTAGGACACACAACTGGGAAATGTTGACCAGTGATTGGTGAAATACGACAAATCTTAGTCTGGCAGACCAATCACCTTAGTTTATACTAGCTGAAGCTCCACCAATAGGAAGGCTATATACTGTCACGGATGTCTGGTCTCAAGGATCAAGTTTTGTGGTGTTCCGTTGGGCGCCATTTTGAGAGAAGCGGCGATTTAGACAATACGTTGTTGTATATTTTCCCACTTTAAACCAAATTAAGCTTTGGTGAACGAACGTTTGTTTTTGGCAAAGCTCTATCTGTACTTTGAAAATGGCGACGGGAGCAAATGCAACTCCTTTAGGGAAGTTGCACCCCAGTATTGGTGCTAAACGAGGCTTTGATGCGGGGCCTGGTGCGGGCAACGGGATGATGCCTTCACCGGCGCCGCCCGGATCCTTTCCTTCTTTGCAGGGTTTCCAGCCTTCCATGCCAAATACAGCTTTTCCCCAGACACATCAATTCACTCCACCGGCGGCTTTTACGACACCAGCTCAGCCGCAGCAGCCTATGGCGCCTGGACCATCTAAAACTGGCAAGTTACCTAAATATCTGCTAACGCTGCTAGCGCCCGACTCAAAGCAAGTTAACGCGAAGAATCCACAAAAAACACGACCTGGCTCTGACGTTAGTTTGAGAAAGTAATTGACAAGTGTATTTGAGTTGAAATATGTACAGGCAGAATACAATATACTACCCATGACAGTAGGAATTTGTTTTAATCGAGTTCTTTCTCGAAGTTTTCCACCCTCGTGCTTGCTTGCAAGGCAACAATGAGCGCAAGATTTCACGCTGATTTGGTCACGCGAGCGAAGTTATCGTCGACATAATGTGTCTTGCTTCTCTGTAGATTTTAGTCAGAAGAAAGGGAGGAAGAAGAGTCGATGGAGCAGCGAGACGCCGGACCAGAAGACGGTCATACCGGGAATGCCCACTGTTATTCCCCCAGGACTTACCAGGGATCAAGAGAGAGCTTATATAGGTAAAAGCTACATTTTATTTTAACAAGATTTGACCCCTAAATTGTAACTGCATTTCATTTGGTAATGCAAATAATTTGTCTAAGGTTCCACTTTTTTTTTTACATGATGTGTATCGGTATTGAAATTATGTCTTGTTTGCTGAATTTCTAATAATTTGAAGTGTTATCCAAAGCAAATGCAGATACCATGAATTCATAATTAAACACTTTGGGTCGCATTTACATTTCACGTAGTTTATTATGGTGTTTTAGAAAATTGGACTTATCAGATTTTCTCTTAACTGTTCAGAAAAAGCAGTCATATTTAATAAGCAATGATTATAACATGATAATGAAATATGTTATGTTGATATTTCTCCAAGTGGTTCTGCTGTGTTTTGTAGTGTTTTAGTTTGCATACCATCGGACACCCATTAACAAGAAGAGTTTGTGATAGTTGATTAAACACCACGGCTTGCTGGTATCTGTCCTGGGCTGCAAGTCATTGCTTAGTGTCTTGCTTGATCCCCCAACACATCATCAGTATCGTTCCTATGCATGAAGGCATCATAACTTCCTAACATAGTAAGGTATTGATTATTAGATTGGTTTGAATGTGAGAAAATAAATCCATTGTACAAATAACTTTCCAATGACATGGGTTTTGCAGTACTAAGGAACACTTGATGATTGTGATCATTCTATTACTTTTAGCTTCATTGAACACGTAAGACATGTCACTGGAATTAAAGCTGTGAAATATCCATGGCTATTTCTGTTCTAAAAAGTTAGAAGCTATTTTAACACCAGAACACAATAAGATGTAACAGAACAATTATATTCTTTACACCAGTACAGGTGTTTACAATATCAATATTTACTGCTCTGTTTAAAACTTCATGCACACTTTGTGTATGGGTGCAACATTTGCTGATTTTATTTTCCAGATAATTTAAAAATCCATAAATGCCACTTACCTGAGATTCTCATTCCTTTTGGAACAAGTTGCATTGTTGTGGAAGCTTTGATGTGAAAAGACATTGTGATACTCTTCATGCTTTACGTGTTCAATTTAGCCACATTATTTTTGTTTGGCCTGTTCGAAAAACAAAGGCAAAAATCATGTGAAACATTTGAACCACATATGCCTTTCAGCAACAGTGTGGCACCAACTCACGGCCTTCATTTTTTCCGAAGCAGATGACTCTTTGTTAATAACTAACGTCATCATAGATGTTGTTCTCTCATTGATAATGGTTGTTCTTCCCTGGTATGTAAACTTTCATCTGTGCCCACTCTACATTTTCACACCTATAGTTTCCTTTGTAGATCCCCCAAAAGAAACGTTTTGAGCTGCAATTGCTGTGAACCACAAGTCAGACATTTTGTCTGACTTTTTTTTCTTCTTCCATTTTTTGGGGGGGATACACTCAGTCACAACGTTCATAATGTGCATGGAATGAAGACTTGCTTATATCACAGCAGCTCCTGGTGTTAAACCTATGGAGCGCAAAATGTGACTGCTCACAGTAGTGAATGATGCCCTGTATATATGCAAGTAAGCATCAACAAGGGTTTGAAGTATCAATGTTATGGCAGACCTTTTTTAAGAGTCACGGTTTCATAATTTGACGTGTTGTCATGCTTAATCATTGTTTGAGGAAAACAAAAGGTTGATCTTGTTTGTCCTGATGTAAATTATGTCCCAGGCTTATGCACAGTGAGTATCATTACAAATAAGGAAGTTGTTTCATGCTTTAGTGTTTCCAGATGTTTATTTGATCTTTTTTTATTTAACAGACTCACCAATTGTCTTTACTGCAGTAATGAATGAGACATTGCTCTAAGTTGCAGAGCGTTGTCTCCCTGATGTTGTTATGGTAACCACATTTCTCTCCATCCTTGTTTTTTCTTTCCTAACCTGAATTCTTCCAGTCCAACTGCAGATTGAAGACCTGACTCGTAAACTGCGTACAGGAGACCTGGGAATCCCTGTTAACCCTGAGGACAGGTCGGAAAAAGATTAAGCCCTCGAACAGTAACATTTTCTCTACCTTCTTGACTATTTGGAAGACAAATTATATATTTATTTATTTGCATTTTCAATGTTGTTGTTAGCTTAAATCTCACATTATAGAGTAGTATTAGCTGAAGAACATAGAGTAGTTGTCTACTCCAAGTGAAGGCCAGTGTTAAATAGACTTTTGAGGTTTCCACTATAGCATTGCTTAGTGAAAGTTTGTCTATATTCGTTTATCAGACTGGCAGACTGCTTACTATTACAGCATTTCTGATTGTAATGGGTAATAGTAAAACCTTCTGTGGCTATTTTTTTAGGCATAAATTATAGGGGTCAGGGGTATCTGAATGGAGATAAGTTAAAGCACTTCTACTTAACATGTGCTCTTATTATATTTATATGAATTTGTGTCTTTATCCCATTTTAATTAATTGAATCAAATCATTGGTGAAACCAAAATTAAACTGGTCCAGATGGCCAGATAAAATCTTAACAAGGGCAGCACTGATAAAGTTCCTTCTTCATTTTGGGCACAGTAACTTGATCAGTATGATGTAAATTGAAGAACTTGAAGTTGGAGTAAGTTGTTGATTGTAAACTAACCAGTTAAACGTGAGTCAATTCACTTGAATTGGTAAAACAAAAATAACAATGTTTAAATGGCAGAAGGAGGGGGCTGTTCTCTCTTCTTTTGACCATGGGGGAGTGTGTCTAGAAAAATAAGGTTTAATTTTCTGAAATAAACCACAGTAATGGCTCAATGGTTAATTTAAAGATACAAAAAGTTAACTTCTTAGACATGACATTGCACACTGCAAATGTGGCATATTTCAGTCACCTTGCAACCGTTTGGCACGTTTCCAGCATTGTTAGGTTGTGCAACGTGTTCCAGGCTGAGCACAAAGTTTTATATATGCAGTTTGAACACAGCAGCAGGGCAGTGAGAGGCTCCACCCAGTTGTTGCAGATGTGTTTGTTGACTCAACTATGTCTCTGAGACTACGGGTCACCTAAACACAATAAGCCTACTGAGCCTCAGCTGACTTCAGCCAGCCGTGAAAATTTGGTTTTCTGGCTTTGATTTTCATCACCTTTATCCTCAATCTGAATGTTATTTTCAGACCTACCCTTAACTACAAACAAGATCTATGAAAATTAGTTTAACAGACCAACCCCAAGTTAAAAAAAGTGGTATCTCTGGACTAACCTTACTCTGACTTAAAGTTCCATTAAATCAAAATCCAACTGTCAGTTCGACAGAGAAGGAGGAATTTTCTCAGCTTGACTGCGTCTATCAGCAGAAGGAGGCTGTAGTAAGATGGGGGAAAATAGTCATATATTTGAAAGGTTTTTGTGTTTTGGGTTTGAATGTGTGTATATATACATACACAGACACACTCACATGTGTGTGTGCGTGTGTATATTATATATTTTATATATTTACACACTCAAATATACATGAATAAGTAATAGCCTTGTGAGAAGTAGGTAAAGACGGGTTCAGTGGTCAGACAGTGCTTTATAAAAGTTAGTAATTACCAGCACAAAGAAAATGATTTGGATATTTCCACCTTTTTATTGGATTTTTTTTTTCTTCCATTTTATATAACAGTGAAGTTGTTGCTTCATATTTGGCCCTTTAGCATTTATGTTTCACCCACTGCTTGTGTTGTGTGATGCATAGTTCTGTGTGAATATGACTTAAACCAGTATGATAAATCATGTTTAAAAATGTTCCTCTAAAACATGTTTTCATTCTACTTCCTATGGTGCCAATAAGTCTTGGCCATTCCTTAGTGAACCTTAAAGAGAAGTGTCAGTGCAACCAGTTTAATTGGCTCTTGTGATAACATTACCTGAACTCAAACCCATCGAATTGGTAATGTCTCATCTGGCTAAGTTTTCATACACACTTGATCTCTATTCGATTATTTTCACTCAAGTCGAGCTCATGGCACGTCGCCTATGCCAGTGGTTTCAACAGGCTGTAGGCATTTCCTCCAGGAGGAAATGTAGCATTCCAGTTTTCTCTCTTGACCTTTAAGTTCTGAAAGAAAACTGCCCAAAGTGTACATGTTTTGGAAAAGCAATGGCCTCCCTATAACAGTGTCCTACAGATCTGTTCCTGCAGGAGTGTGTCGCTTTGACCCTAATAGCTGCAGAGCCTTTCACCTGTACACTGTGTAGACTTTCTCAGATATTTCCACAGCAACCCAGTAGTGAAGGCAGAGCTGCAGCATTCTTGTAAGCCCCCACCCCCCCACACACATCTAATGTGACACAATCAACTTGGGAGGTATTTCAGGTGGTCACCGTTGGAAGTTTGAAGTTTAAAAGGGGGAAACAAATAATTCACTCTTCAAGTGACATGTATACAAGAGTGGCTCTCTGATTGGAGAGCGTAAGAAAAGGTGGACATCTAATCTTTAATTCCTTTTCTCTAACCCAAATTACCCCACATCAACCTAACCCTTTTTCAAGCACACAGCCTCCTTAACGCAGCAACACAGGTTTTCAGCATCCATGGGGAGGTACGGACCTCTTCCGCAGCGTCAGCACCAAGCAACTCACAGCCAGCATCTCTGCTTAGGAGTGCCAATTTTGCTTTGGTTTCTTACTTACAACTGTCCTTTCTTATAGGCCAACAACCCTGTATGCAGGTTTAATTATACATATTTTTAAATATTTGTATTCCTTATTTTTTTTTATTTGGTTACATTTATACAGTTTTGGTTGCCCCCTTTTTACACTGGAGAGTAAGTGCAAAGTTCCCACATCATTTGTTTTTGTTTCGCTCTCGCACTGGACATGTGTCCATCTGAGGTTTCCCTCAGTTGGTCAAACTTTTTCAGGTGATTTTTTTTTTTTTTTTTTTCTTTCTTTCTGTTTTTTGAAAATTAAATTCTGATGAAATATTAAAGGTTAGGGCAGCTGTAGGGAGCCTGTGTGACTTATTGCAGAGCTCCACGTCTCCAAATGCATCAACATGGTCTGCTCTGTATTTTGTCTGCTGCTCTCAGGTCTCCTTCTCCAGAGCCCATCTATAACAGCGAGGGCAAAAGGCTAAATACTCGTGAGTATCGCACACGCAAGAAGATCGAGGAGGAGCGCCATTCCCTCATCACCGAAATGGTCGGACTAAACCCCGACTTCAAGCCTCCTGCAGACTACAAGTATGTCGCCCCCTCACTGTTTTCACACTCTGTTGTGATTTGGAGAGAAGAGCCTGGCTTGTTCTTCAGGTAAATACCCACGTCTCTTTCAGGCCTCCAGCCACCAGAGTCAGTGACAAAGTTATGATTCCCCAAGACGAATACCCTGAAATCAACTTTGTTGGTCTTCTAATTGGACCACGGTAAGTTCAGCACCTTTTAAATCTCTTTTATTTTACTCACGGCCACTGAGCCAGGTAAGTCCAATAAAGCCAATAAGCTATCAGGTTTTTAGATGCTCACATGAATGGAACTGGGTGAGCAGCCATAGCGGTCACATTAAAGTTAAAAGGGTAAGGATTCCCCTTTTCAAAAAACTATTTTTACTTTTCCAGAGGTAATACACTGAAGAACATTGAAAAGGAATGCTGCGCCAAGATCATGATTCGAGGCAAAGGTTCTGTGAAAGAAGGGAAGGTTGGCCGGAAGGATGGACAGATGCTGCCAGGAGAGGATGAACCTCTGCACGCCCTGGTCACCGCCAACACCATGGAGAACGTCAAGAAAGCCGTGGAGCAGGTCAGATTCCCTCAGCTCGACCACAACGCATCTAATATTACAATGGTCATAAGCAGAACGAAGGCCACGTTTAAAGGCCTTCTGGTTTCTGTATTTCAAATGTTCTCGGTGTACCTGTCGGGCTGCATGGCCCGTGTCAACGGTTATACATTTGTCCACAGATTCGAAACATCCTGAAGCAAGGCATTGAGACCCCAGAGGACCAGAATGACCTGCGGAAGATGCAGCTGAGGGAGCTGGCCCGGCTCAACGGCACGCTGCGGGAAGACGACAACAGGTTGGTCCCACACGCCCAGAACTCTGAGCACGGTTTGGCTTCAGTATCGGCCCGTTATCTGAGAGTTCCCATTCGTCCAGCAGGTTTAGACGCTGGAAAAGGGGTAGTGGATTTGGTTGTACAGTCTATAACGCCATTGACACCTTCCCCCGTGGGTTAGATGATGGATCCCCAAAACATTCCCCGCCTGGAACAAAAAGTCCTTCTTATCTCAATCTGGCTCCCTGAGACTGGCCTTGGAGCTGCTTCTCAGCTACTTTTGCCCTGGTTGGAACTACAGATGCTACAGATCATGTGTCAAGTGGTGTGCTGTAATTGGCCGCTGCCCCATGTACTCCCAGATCCCGTATGTTCATCTCATTTGCTATGTACGTGTTGTCTGATGTTGGGATGGGTTGCACTGAGACCGAATCCCCCTCACGAGATGGATAAAGCTGATCTTATCTCATGTAGGATCCTTCGTCCGTGGCAGAACTCTGAACCGCGCAGCATCACCAACACAACTCTCTGCACCAAATGCGGCGGAGCCGGCCACATCTCCTCCGACTGCAAGTACACCAGGTAATAACCGAGTGGCAAAACTCCTAGTCTTCATTCCACAGCTGGTCACAGGTCTTATAAGATGCGGGTGCCGCTTTCCCTCCTGCAGCTCATTTGCAGCCCACAGAGCGACGGGGGGCGAGCCCCCGCAGTCGGCGCAGGACAAGGCTCGCATGGACAAGGAGTACCTGTCCCTCATGGCTGAGCTGGGGGAGGCCCCCGTCCCCAGCTCCGGCGGAGGACACTCTACTTCTCATGGAGGATCGTCCCGGTCGTCCGGCTCCAGTCAGGGCCAGTCGGTGCGTGGGGGGGGGGGGGGGGGGCACAGTTTCAGAGTGTGTGTCAGAGTGTGTGTGTGTTGACGGATTGTTTGTGTGGCGCAGAGCCGTCCTCCCTGGATGAACTCGGGTCCCTCTGAGAGCAGGAGCTACCACAGCATGCATGGAGGACATAGTGGCCATGGAGGACCCCACAGCTTCCCCCCCCCCATGCCCAGCATGGGAGGCCCACCCATGCCCCCCAACCCCAATGGCTTGCCCCCGCCCTGGATGCAGCCCCCCCCACCTCCTATGAGCCAGGGGCCCGGACCTCACGGCCATCCGATGAGTACGAGAAACCTTTTATGAGTTTGGTTTTTATCCACCTTTAACGCGTGAGACTTGCTTAACCTCTTTTTTCCTCTTAGATCTCCTGCCGCCCCCGATGGGAATGATGCCGCCACCCCCGCCTCCCCCCAGTAGCCAGCCCCCTCCTCCCCCATCTGCTGCCCTGCCGCCATGGCAACAGCAAGCTCCACCACCACCCCCCACCAGCAGTATGGCAACAAGCACAGCGCTACCGTGGCAACAAAGTAAGAGCTCCCGGAAGTTTAGTTCAAAGCTTTTATTAACGGAAACGTACACAGGTGTGACAGAAGAATGAGGTTTATGTGAAGGGCACAGAGGTAGTTGGCAGAAAAATTCATCCAAATGCTTCCTGCACAATAAATAAACTGGTTTGCATATCAGTTAAGGGAATATAGATTAAACTGTCATTAATATACAAAAATCATAGTCAGATGAACTCATTCATTTTAAAGTTCTGATTAATTAAACACATTTCTGTTGAATCTGCAAAACGGTGACTGCAAATATCTATTTGATTTCATCTTGAGTGTTTGTGTTGACTGACAAAAACAAAGAGGAAATTGATTTAAAAACTCCTTCATTTAGGATGAGGCAGAGGGGAAGTCCCAAACTGTAACTCTGGAAATAGTTTTTAGAGATGCAGTTGATTCATCTTAAAATAAATTAAAAAGATGGCTTTATCGAAACGAAGAATGCAAATGTTCTCGTGCATTGCATTTTTACTAAATGTCCAACAATTTAAATAGGAGTACGCTTGACATGGCCACCTTTTTTCAGTGAATATAAGATTCAAAAAGAGAAGGAAGTAGAGCATCGAGGGCTTGAGCTGCTCCACACCAGCGTTAGATGCTCAAACTCTGAGGGGACAGGAGTTTAGGCTGAAACTGGGCGTGAGCTGATACAGAGTTAGGAGTGTGTGTGTGTGAGTGTGTGTGAGTGTGTGATGTGGAAAAGTGACGGTGAGCCTTTCCCTCCCAGCAGACACCATCACCACGTCCAGCCCGGGCTCTGGGACCTTACCCCCCTGGCAGCAGCCCCAGCAGCCGGCCGCCTCCGCCGCCCAGCCCCCCCTCCCCATGGGAACCCCGTCCATGGTGCCCCCTCCCCCCGGAGTCCAGCCCCCGCTGCCCCCGGGCGCCCCGCCCCCCCCTCCACCCCCGCCCCCAGGCTCCACCGGCATGATGTACGCCCCCCCTCCACCCCCGCCACCGATGGACCCTTCTAACTTTGTCACCATGATGGGAATGGGGGTACCAGGCATGCCCCCCTTCGGCATGCCTCCTGCTCCCCCTCCGCCTCCACCACAGAATTAATCCTGCCACAAAACAGTTTGTTTTTGCACACTCAGCACACCAGATACCTGTAGACGGATTTTACATCGAGTGTTTGTGTGCTTACTGAAAACCAGTATATCCACTGCTTTCATTTTAATTCAATCTTGTCATTAAGACCTCGCAGAAACCACACAAGGCAGTTAGTTCAAATTGTTTCTCTGTGTAACTCGATTAGTTCTTTTTCTCTGTTTTGGACGTTTGTATTGGCACAAAGCTCTTTGTGTGTATACAAACTAACACTTGTCATGTTATTGTAACCTAAATAAATCCCTCAAATCAGTCAGCCTGAGGTTTATCTCTGCTCACTAATCACACCAATCAAAGCTGAATGTGTATCTGTAAGTGGTTTGAATCGATTAAAGTTCAGCTTGCATGATCCCTTTTTTCTTTTGGAAGTGACACATTTATACTACTGTCTTGTTTTGACATTAAGCTTAATAAGATAAATATTTTTGTAATATGAAGTGGTGTCTCTTAGTTCTGTAAAACATTTGTAGTTTTAAGATTTTTTTTCCTTTCCTTTTTTTAAAGTTTTTATTAAAGAAATGACAAGAGCTTTTTATTTTTATCTTGTGACTGGCCTTGGTGCCGGTGGTAACTGACCGGTGGTCTGATGAGGCAACATGCTACCCTCTGTGTGCTTGCTATTAAAAAGACACTGTGTAGTGTTTGTTGGTTCTTTAGAGACTTAAAAATCTATTTGTCCTTTTTTTCCCTTTTTTTTTTGTTGAGAAAGTTAGTTTTTCTTTCTGTGTGGAATTGGTCTGTTCTAGCGTTCTTCTGAATGAGTAATAGCTGTTGGAATCCTGCTTGGTTTAGTATTAAACTGATTCAATTCACCAATTTTTCGCAGTGGTCCCCTGGAGTCTCATTCCACACACGATTCTCTGCTTAGAAAAGCTTACAACGCTTCCTTTCTTTTGTGTTATGTAACAGTGCTTCCTAAAGAGTGTTCCTGTTTAAAATACTTCAGGGTTCTGCAGGATTTCTGCCTCAGTCAGTCTCACTGGAATGGGAACACATGCATTCTTCAGGAAGTTTTTTTTTTACATCCTCATCTGTCACAATTTTTTTTTATACATAATTTTTCAGTTCAGTTAATCAGTTCAAATTAAAAACGTAACTTTAGAAGAATGTTCCTTTGTGTTTTGATGCATTTCATATATAAGGGACCTTCAACATAATACTGTTGAATAAGCCTCAGTCTTTGGTTTAATGTACGGTAAATAACCTAACTGTCTACAAGTCACCTCAATTGGAAGCTTAATTTTGGCTAACATTAAGAAAACTAAAACTAGAATAAATTAAAAAACAAAACAAAGACATTATAAGTAACTTTGTATTTTTTTTATTTATAATTTAAACTTTTTTGGGCCAATCAGTTTTTAAAAAATGTCTCCTGGAAAAAATATCTGAGTAAAAGCATGCTGGACAGTTCTATTGTGAATCTCCTTAAACTCGGGTTTTAAAAGGCAGGAAGTGTAACAAAGAAAATCTTATCTTTGGTTATGCTTGTTTTAAAGTTAGTTCCCTCTTCATTTGTGTTTCTAGAAAAGCCTGTTTCTGACCCGACCATCTCTTCTGTTGTTTGTTTGCTGACTGTTCCTGCCCGGCTGACCCCAGTGCCTTCAGTTGTCCAGTTCTGCAGGTTTCTTCATATCAAGGTGACTTCCCTGCACATCTGATTCATCTTTTTATTCCTCCTCACAGTATTAAAGCGCTGCACACCAAGCTGGATTTTTTTTTTTTTAACCTGGGAAAAAAAAGATTAAATATTGGTTAAACTATATAGAATGTTGAATGAAATTGTTTTTAATTTTTCCAATTCAACTAAATGTTTTTTTCTCAAACTGGTGCTGTTAACTATTTTACAACACAGTAGTCTTTTGTTTGGTAATAACTGTATCACACGAATAATACAGACAGATATAAAAGGGGAGTGCCTCAAACCAAGCAATTATTGAACTACGAACTTATTTGATGGTTACTAGTTATTATATATTCTGCTTTTACACCAATTCACGAGGAGTAGGAATACAATGATACCATTAAAAAAAAAAAATATCCCTTGACTTTACAACTTACTTCCGAGATAAAATATGTCAGATAATGTAAATTTACCTGAAATAATTTTACTTGCTGAAAACTTAACAATATTAACCAATCGATAAGAAGATTGATCTATTTTTCGTTCAATAGCAGATAAAAAATGAAAGCAGATAAAAATGAAAGGTCTGTAAAACTACGGACACCGGATGTCCAAGATTTTTTTAGGTTTATCCAAGAAACGTTTTCTTCCTACTTTTAAATAATTTTGGAAATCAAGGCAAAGTGCCCACAAAATGTGAATCGAAATGACTGATCACATTTTATCAAAGGCAAAACTTACAACAATTGACCCCCAAATAGGTAAGAATTTGAATTCTTCGCACAAACGCGCGTGACGCACTGAGAAAATCTGTCAGCGGGTCCGTTTTGAGTTTTATTTTGAAACTACTTCCCGGAAGAGCTCGGCTTCTCTTTCCAGCTTGACCCTCAGTGATGGGCATATAACAGAGCCGGAGCTCCCAGAGTCACGGAAAAGCCCAGAAACCACCGGGTCAAGCTCCAGTTTTTAGTTCAAACGGTTTTTATTTTAAACCACCATGTCCAAACCGCTCACTGACCAGGACAGGAGGAAGCAGATCTCGGTCCGGGGGCTGGCCGGGGTGGAGAATGTGGCCGACCTGAAAACCAATTTCAACAGACACCTCCACTTCACGCTGGTCAAGGACCGGAACGTGGCCACCCGGCGGGACTACTACTTCGCGCTGGCCAACACGGTCCGGGACCACCTGGTGGGCCGCTGGATCCGGACCCAGCAGCACTACTACGACAAGGACCCCAAAGTAAGCCGCAAAGGATGCCGCAGTCCCGTCCGCACGCACGCACGCGCGCGCGCGCGCGCACACAGCGGTGAGGGGGAGGGGGGGGGGGGGCGGGGCGTTGGGCTGTTCTGCAGAAGAGAGACCGCCATTCCGTTCGCGCGTGCACGTGCGTGCATCAGTGCGTGTGAACCTCTCTCCGCATCCATTTATAGACACTTTCCGGGTTCTTCTTCCCTCCCCCGGTCAGAGTCTGCCCCCCCCCCCCCCC